AAAAAAAAAAAAAAAAACAGTTCCGGGATCAACCAGTCCCATCCTCTCAGATGCTATTGCCCGCGATGCGTTATTTCCCTTAAGAAAGTAAAATGTCTATAGATGGACTCGGCTAGTAGCCAAAATAGTATAAGCAGCCGTGGACATCGCAACCCTCTCATCTCGTCCAGCCATTTTTGAAGGTGCTCGGGTCCATTGTCTTCCAAACCTCTCCAGTCTTTCCAACCCATCATGTCCAACACTGTACTGCCTAGTCGGTTCACGCCGCCGCCATACATGATGCTACGAACCGTTGCATCACTTTGACCCAGGTGCATTGGGGCTCCTGGTACCATATACCTTTTTCACGTGCTTCCGTTTCGCTCCCATACGTCGCAATTGCAATTGTATTTCAGTATAGTAGGGCTATCAGAATAAAAAGTCCGAGAAGTATATCCATTTTAGTCTGCGGCTCTTCTCCAAAAATCGCTATCATTATCGATGTCATAATCACCATAATCATCATCGTCATCATAGTCATAGCCATAATCATCAAAGTCAAGATCACTGAACCTACTGTCCCAGCACTCTTCTTCCGTAACAGTATTTTTGCTGAGTATCCATCCATAATTCTCCATTCTCTTTCTTAGACAATCACTCGGCCCATCTTCATGTACCTCAAGAATGATCTCCGATAGAGAAGGTATAGCTCTAAAGTGAGTATCGACAAGATGCAGTGCCTCAGTAGCAAGGCTGTAGTGGTCCAGATTGTCAAGCCTGAGTTCCATGTCACTTGTACTATACAAGGACGTCCTAAGCGTGATCAAACCAGTGCAGCTGCTCACAATGCTTCCGAGTATGCTGAGGCTTTTCTCCTTGATGGTAACATCGCCTGGGTCTAGATAGAGGAATTCCGGGAAGTCGATTACGATATGTTGGATGGAATTTGCGTTGCGGGGACCAATTTGTTGGAGGAACGAGACCAATTTCTCAGGATCGCGTCCACCAAAGTCGAAGCGATTCTGGCTGTAGAATAGCAAGCTGGCTTCGCGGTGGACTGTCTTGCTAACGCGAAAAAGCCCTGTTGGGACCTGCAAACCATATCTGATCCAAGGATCGATAAGCTCGGACTGCAGTAAAATAATTTCGTATATCGTGTTTCGAAGTTCGCCAGGGAGAGAGAGAAAGCTCACAGAGCCGCCCGTAGCCGTGGGCTATCGATCATTAGCTTTATGGCTCAGGCCGAGTTTTATGAGCATGTATTGCAAACATTGAAGTTGGAGAGGTGGCTAGAATCAGACATCTCTACAAGTGGGATCATCTAGGTAGTCGCTGATTTTGGTTGTCCTACTGATTACCAAGTCATGATGGCGATGAATCCTGGTGTTTCCCATACGTCAAGAGATAACCCCGCACTCGGAGTGGCAAAGTCACGTGCTACAGTAACTGCAACATCGACATAAACAGATGCCAAGGTGGAATTGCACCCGAGTATTGTTTTGACTTTGAAGATAATGGTTCTTAAGTTATAGACTGTCTTATTCAGTATACTTACCGGCTATGGAGCGCAAGAAAAGGGGTGGCAGGAGGTTGAATAGCGGCCCTCACATTTGGTTCAGCCGATTATCGTTCTTCTTCTTCTTCTTTTTTTCGCTTCTGCGGCGCTTATTCTCTGAGTAGACGTGCCATGCCATGTTATGTTTACTATCTGTCTCTAATGATCGCTGAACATCGATCCACCCACTCTGCTTTATTACTCTTAAATACGCAGCCAATAAAATTTCTCGGCTCCCTCATAAGAAATATCAGGTCGTTGCGGAGCTTGAAGAGCTCATCTTTAGGCGTAAGACGCGACTCGCAGTTACGTGGGCTATCCCGGTTGCCTTTGACCTTTATCCAACCCAATTCTCGAAGCATTCGGTTGTTCACCCCTTTGTGCTCTACAGTTACAGATGGCCAGGTCATCAGCCATGCCATTTCATCAACGTTGCACGGGATCGTGGACACGACTCACCGATTTTCTTTGTCATCTCAGACACTCGCAGCACTGAATCACGATCTTTGTCCCATGGAAATGCCTCCGGCCGCAGGAACCAGAGCATTCTCGTCACCATGTTAGCTGCTAGAAGAGCAGGGTCTCTTCTCTTGGTTGTCACGTTGAAACACTTCGTATTGGGCCGAACCTCGGGGGTTGCGCTCGATGCTGTAATAGTCAGCGTGAGCATGAGCATAAGATCACATAACGGATCCTCAAGACAATCTGTTAGACAGCAGTATGCTGCACAGTAATGAGATAGAACGAGTTGGTCCCCTTTCGCGAACAGCCGGCGTATCTCCGTGAAACCCCTCTCCACGATATCTGGGATCTGCTTGATCGGTATCTTACAACCTAGATCGATCCGTGGTCGGATCTTCGCTCGCTTGACGCCAGTTGAATCGACCGACCTACGAGCCTCCGCCTCTAGCGCCCGTCTCTTGAGGCTATTGGGTCGAGCCGCGAGGATAGTTGCGGATGCAGCCGTTCCGACGAGTTGTACTACCTGTTGATGCGTCAACCTCCGGCGATGAGAGCCAGGGATCCATTCGATGCTCGCAGATACCATGGCAGCTGCGATACCTGAGACCCACTGAGTCCTTGTTGCGAAGCTGCCTTTGGTGTGTTGGATCGCGGCCCGCAGAATAGAGGGCCATGTTGAGTGGGTCGGTGCGATAGACTCGACTCCTGGGTGGCCCTTCCTACCGCCCTCCATCAAAGCAACGAAAATCTCTTCTGCAAAGTCGCGTCTTGTCTTGAGCACGATCTTTGATTCATTCATCATCGAACGGTCATCGAACTTGAGTACTTCCGTCGAGAGTTTCTCGAAGTTTCTGTGGCAATGTTAGGAACGCTGAGGAATCTAAAGAGACTCCTGGTACGTACGAGGTTTTAAATGGATTGTCTCGTGCCTCCCAGGCTTCTAAAGCGATCATCGCCTGAGCGCTCTCCTCATTGCCCGTGCCGACATCACCATGTTCTCCAACACCGATCCTACCACCACTGCGGATGCCACGATTCAAGCCACGGCGGACTTGACGAGCAATAAAAGCGACCGTCTCTGGTATCCACAGATCTTGGAATACCTCATGAAGGAACGTTGTCATCCTATCCATCCCGTCTATTGACCTGCCCCCAAGCTCAGCAAACCATAGTTGACTGTGTCGGTTAGATGCTACAGTTCTATCGTAGTGGTATTCTAGTGAGGCAACATGCATCAGGACGGGCCGTCCGTTGCTCAGCTGTGGCCATCCCACAAGGTTGACGAGTCCTTGTCCATCTCGGATGTCCAACATTCGCGGCGATATAAATGGCCAACCACATCTTTTTAGACTATCCATCGTTCCAAGGAGCCTCATGACCTTGGTAGGCAGCACCCTCGGATCCCCAGTGAAGCAAAAATTACCCAGTCGATCGAGGGCAGCGACGCCTTCGGAGAGAGCCATGCCCAGTCCTTTCGACCCTGCCTCACGAAAGCGGCGGTCCATTTCTGCTATAGCTGCTTCCACAACTTTGGCAAAAGCCACCATGACTCCTGGAAAGATGCTCGGGTTGAAACGCCGAAGTATGCCTGCATAGAGCTGCTTCTCCTTGAGGAAGAGGCGCATTAGCTGGAAAATTGGCTGTAGCACGCTACTGAAGTTTCGACGACGGCGCACGAGCCGTTGGGTGTCGATGGAAATAACCTGCTCGAATCGGAACGCAAACTCATTGGCTTGCATGGCTGCTTCGACCCTTTGTCGCTCCCGCGCAAAAGGTGTCGACGCGCCAGGGTTGTCAGGTGTGAGTTGCCCCCTCACTTGGGCCAGGAGTCGCTGCTGCTTGTCCTTGAGCCGCGCCGTGCGTTGAGCCTCCGTCGAGGGAATGGTGAGTGCAGCTGTGGCGAGGCCGTGACTAGCTAGTAGGTCATGAGGGCCGTGACGGATGGACCGTTTCAGGTTGGAATAGCCCTGAAAGAAGCCGAACGAAAGTACGTCGGCACCCTGATTCTGGTGGCTCATGTTCTCCTTCATGACAGTAAACAGGTCGCTATCCAGGAAGGCAGGAGGACGGTCTGACGTGAAGTTGCCGTATGCGGGGTGGAAGCCGAGTGGGTAGAAGGTGTAGTTACTCCCATAAAACTCCCCGGTCACACGGTTGCGGTCGGCAAGCAAGCATACAGGACGGCTTACCCTTGCTTCCGTACCAGGAGAGGTATTTGTTGCGGTACAGTGAACATCAACAGCTAGGGCATAGGAGACGTGGCTGATGTTGTCGAGGTTGTACTTCGCCTCAAGGGCCTCACGCAGCCGCATCAGGCCGGGACTATACAACGCATCATGTTCTCTCTGGTCCTCCGTTGCTGGTATCGATTCTGATGAAGGAGGTAGGCTGGATGGTGAGATGTCTGGTGCTTGCATTGGATAGACGCCGTCGTTATCATCAGCATCTGGGCTCAACGGCTGCTGCTGGAAGTTATCTTGCCTCTCGTACTGATGTTCCTGGTCTTGTAGTTGAGCCCCGTTGTGCTGGCCCCTATCAATGTTCTCAGATTCGTTCATCCATTCAAGGAACCTTCGTTGCTGCTCGTCATCACCATTAGGCCTGTCGGTGTCAGCTTCGCCATTATTATTACCTCGATATTCTGCATTGATTCGTCCTGGACTGAGTATAGGTGGTATTAGAGAAGCAACATCGTCCGCCCTCGCTGGCATGAACAGACTATCGTTATCCTCCACTTCGACGGTTGGTTGGCCCCATAGCTCGTCGGGCCCATCCTCTCGTTCCTCTCCTCCAATTCCCTCCCATCCCTGCTGTGTCGCCGGCACACTACTGTTTTCTCGATCGTAACCGTCCTCGGACTCATCGAGATAGGCTGGCCGGATGACTGTCTCTTCTTCGAGATTCGCTATGCCTTCATTGACTTCTATGTTGATGTTGGCACCATAGTCGTACGCGTGGAAGGCGGGCTGATGACCGGTCCAGAAAGTGTCGCCCTGAGCAGAGAACCTTTCAAGGAACCCTGTCCAGCCGTCCATAAATAGTGTTTGGAATGTGACCCATTTGTCAAAGGCAATCATCTGCGTCTCTTTGCCCCCGAGAGCCCATCTCGGCTCAACACCTTCACCAAGGAGCTCACCTTCACCAAGGAGCTCACCTTCACCAAGGAGCTCACCTTCAAGGAAGATGTCTTTGATATACGATGCGAGCATCAGAGCACGGCCTTGCACGAGAGCAGTCCTTGTATGTGCAGTCCTTGTATGTGTCGTGTCGTGTCGTCGACGGGGGTTGCTGGCGCCAGCAGCCCTCTGGCTCGGGTGCATGACGATGAACCAAGCTTCTCGAGTAGCACCGGTGGCAATGCGGAAGGTACGGCCGCTCAGGTCGAAACCGATGCCTTGCACATGTTTTGCGCTATAGGCGGCGCTCCAATGGCGAAACGATATCGTGATATTGTCAAAGAAGTGACTGGGCCGGCAGATCGGCCGGCGCGGTAGACCGATAATGCTAACGAAATCGAGCCGAAATACGGGGTAATAGTCGTCGTCCTCGCTCGCCGGCTTCGATCCAGTCTTCTTGCTCCCATAGTCTAGGACAACTCGGCGCTGGAGGAGGTCTAGAGCACGTGCCCCATCGAAGGCTTCGTCGTTCGTCTCGTCGATGAACTCGTCAGCTAACACGACATATCAGTCAGGATAGGTTAGGTAAATTTGAGAAACTGGCAGCGCGTTCTCGTTCAAGTTCTAGGTGGATGGAGAAGGGGATGGGGAGGGAAAGGATTAGGACGGATCGATCAATGTTGCTGTAACGCTCTCCGAACAGCATAGTGCCATACCATACATCCAGGAATCGCCGGCGCGACGGTCTACTCTCCAGCCTCTTTGGAACTGATCTGTAGCGTCTTCTGTGCTGACCACGCTCCCTTGAATGCTCGCGGGCTCCTCTAGATAATGTTCATCAGCCAAGAAGGGAGATATAAGCTCTTGTGCTTCTTCTTGGTCTTCGCCATCATCAATGTCAGGACCATCAGAGTGGACGTCGAATTCGACCTCCTCTGGTAGCCCCAAGCACGACATTACAGGTGTCACAACGGTGATGTTGACTAACAAAAGGTGACCCTAATCTTTCTAGGGTTCTAACTTGTGATGAAAAGGATACGACTTAGTATGAGGATAAGGGAAAGCGATATAATACTAAAAGAATACAGACTGTTTGTGGGATTCGACTACTGTATAGGCTGGTGCAGTTAGACGCGAAGCGTGTCGTTCTACGTCGTGCTATCAGAGCCGTAGCTAAAGTCCTCTACGAAAGAGGGCCGCGTCTTCAATCGGGCTACCGCACTTACCACCGGTTCATCAACTTTACCCCGAACGCGCCCGTAAACAACCCATGCCAGCATACCCAGGGCCAGGCGTCCGAGCGCGTGTATGGCTAGGGTCAAACACTGAAGTATAATACCATAGCGCCGTCTCATGCATCTTTTTCGAATTATCACATTCTCCATATCACATAGAATGACACCGAATCCCTTGCAATATGCCCTCCTGTAAAGGGTTGGGGGTAAACTTTGTGGGAAATGAGGTGGCTCATTTGTCACAAACACTATGAAACTCTAAAAACTTATCACATTGTGAAGTGACAAGGGTGCTCTAACCCCCGTCTAGGTCTTTCCGGTCTATCCGCGCCTTTTCTTTTTGTTTTCGACCTTTCCCAGCATTGTAACAGCTATTGATTCTACGAGTGTCCAAAATTAAGTCATGGTAACGATCGGGTTTGGCCAAGTTCTGTACTTCAGTAGCTTTTCACGGGTCCAAACAATACATCGAGTTAAAAATGTACGGGTTTATTATAACTATTATAATTGTTACTGCTTAACATATTTATTATTCCTTACTGTGTTACTACTAATAAATGGTTCGCCAGTCTGAATCGTATATCTTTTGGTATAGGGTATGACTCGCTCATAATTAACAACTGCCGCATTGCCCGCGCTGGGAAAGGATCAACGCTTACTCCCGGACGTCGCTACAGGACCATCCATCCAGGATGATCTCTTTTGTGGCTGCGAGCCAAGGATGATTTGACCCTGATGACCCTGGCGTTGTTGTTTCGCCCTGCTCATCTGGGATTGGGCGGAGCTTGGCCGCCCGTTCGGTAACACTGTCCTGGTTGCTGATAATTGGTCGACCCTGCTGCTCCCGACGTCCCCCTTCGGTAATTTTTGCAGTGGACGGCCGACTTCAGCTGCAACGTAAGATTTTTGAGGAGGTGGTTGGTAACTGTTATCTGCAAAACTTCTTCCCTGTATGCCATCTCTGTGGCGGTGGCTTCTCATCGTTACAGTCCCTTGGGCTGGAGGCAACGGGGATATCATCGTAGTCGTCGTATTATCAGTGAGCGGCGGCGGCGACGATGGTGGCTGCTGTTGAGGATAACGCGACTGATGGCGCTGCTGCTTTTGTTGCTCCGTTCGAGGTGGTGGGCTTTCTTCCATTGCTATGGGCCTTGTGCGCCCGCTGTCACGCTGTGCCCTGTCTGCCGCGTTGATCGGAACCAACCCCTGCGATGATGAGGGTTGCTTGACGACGTGGTGATTCGATGATGATACAGCACCCTGTTGTTGACAGAGCACTTCATTCGAGGTGTGGCTGATACGCTCTTCTGTTGCAGGTAAGGATGGCAACTGCCGCTGCTGCTGCCGCTGATCATCGTGTTCGGAAATTGAAGTTGCTGATGTCATTCCTGCCAGGATCCCCTCGTACCCCTGATACGCGACCTGGATCGCGTGGAGTGCTTCACGCGACCAAGGATGTCCTTCATCAGACTCGTTGTTTTCCACTGCTTTGCGGCATCGATCCGAAGCCCATGAGAGAACAGCATGATCGATGTAGGCACCAAGCTCGTTCGAGGCGTATACGCCTCTCAGTGCGGGATTCTCCTTCACCTCGGGAATCTTTCCCAACTGACTACATATGGCTCGTGTGATGGCTGAGGCCGGTGGTCTGTGACGCATCTCGGACCGCGGTTGATGATCCGCGTTATCTGCGCCGACGCGTTCGGAGATCGAATTCTCCCATACCGGGCGAAATGCAGAACCAAGGGCGTGTTGGACTATGTCAGATAGGCCCGTCCAGAGGTCGCCGGTACTGAAGCGTTCTGCATAGTGCTCATCATGTTCCTCTGGCATCAAGTCGAGATAGTGCTTCGTCGAGGGATCCCTGAACTCGGTCATATGGCTGCGGACGTAGTCGAGGACCTGCCTTTCCAGCGTTCGTGAGCGCAGGTCGAGCCAGGATGCCATATCGTCAACGCCGTCGACATCACCGTCTTCCCTCCGCTGAGCCCACCAATCGTCCCCGTGAGTAGTGACCATAAGACCTTCGATCGCAGGTATCAAGTCCTGTCGTCGCAAGGGCTTATTATTCTCGTGAGTATCGACAATATCTGCGGGTTCAGTGTTTACCCAACGTACTACATGATCGATGACCTGTGCCATGACCTCGCCTTCCTCCTTCTTGATCTTCAACAAGGGCTGCACATCCGGAAAGCGAAGAGTGAGGTTCTGTTGGAGATGGCGGCAAAGACTGTCATAGGCTTCCTTGTCGAGCGAGCTTAGAAATCCACTCCGCCGAGCTGTCTTTGGGACCGGTTTAATGGTGGAAGCGGCCGATGGGCTGGACTTGCTGTCGTCCTTGTTGTTGCCTTCTCCCTTGGGATAAAAAACGTGGTGAACATCCGCAGCATCATAGGTGTCGCTTTTGAGACTGCCGGCTAGCACATTCCAGTCAGAGATTTGAATGGTCTCAGAGGTGGAGGTAGGAAGTGCCCTCAAAGTCTCGAGTACCTGGTAGAACTTATCGAACCAATACTACTCCCAGGTTAGCATTATGTTCTGGGTAAGGCCTGATGGCCTCCAAGGCTGTTTTCTTTCTTATTTATCCTAGAGTGGAAGAGATGATGGACGAGACGATAAATGGCGAACCATATGATCCACAGACACCAAGGGCGAGTCACTTACATCATCCAGTCTGTACCCTGCGATCTGATACCATTTTGAAATGTTAAATGTGGTTCTCCCCAGGGAGGTTCGACACCAGCGGGTAACCCGAGGCCTCCACCGCTCGCTTCGCCACAGCGTGACGAGACGGCTGATGGGAAAGCGAGCTTCACTTGTCAGGCACAAGATATCCAGCATGCTTTTCTCGATACCCTTCTTGTTGACATTTCTCTCGACGGAAAATAAAGTGGGATCCCGATCAAAGGCCGAGACGAGCTGTAGCCAGATTTGACCATGGGTGTCGGGCAGGGTGAGATCACGGCGATTGACACGAAGCTTGATGTCAAGTTCGACTGGTAGAGTGTCTATATAGAAGGGTAAGTATGGTTTGTTATATGTATATATAAACATTTGTACTTGAAGAAGATCTGCCAATAGTCTTGGGGATAATTCAAGAGGGGTCACACCTTTATCATAAAACTCGCAAATCCACCATAAGTCGCTTGAGTCAGAATGCGTCTGTTTCACGTAGTCTTTCAAGGCCTCGATGCGATGCTGGCCAGCCATGAGCTCGGGCCTCTCATCAATGAAATCGGCCCAGTTTCTGAACGATAACACATGCTGACATCGGTCCTGGATATGGCTCGGATCAGTATCTGGGAGGGCGTTGATGATCATCTTTTCAATGGCGGCGGCACTGCAGGAGACTTGGATGTAGTGCTGCTCAGATCGACGTGCAAGACCACCATTCTGGAAAGAGCGACAAAGATGGGCGACATGGTTACGGTCGAGGGGCCTGTTACTGCCGCGAGACCAGGAGGAGTCGAGGAGATGGATGGGTAGCTCAGCGACGGCAAGGCGGTAGGGCTCCGCCTGTTTCCTCAGGGAATCGACCTCGGTAAAGGAAGGAGGAGAAGGTTTTGGCGATTTGGCGGGCTTCGTCGGCGAAGGTGGTGGTGATGATGGGATGTCGTTGACGACGGGGGCAAGGGAGGGAGAAGGATGGGCAGGTGTCGTTTTCTGTCGCTTAGGGGGACGGGGATTCGTGTTGGATCTGGGAGGCAGACGGCGACCAATTTTAATCATGATGACAGCAGTAGATAGATATATGTGTATGTGTGTATTTATCGTCACTTTGTTTTACGCCAGGTGACATATGGGTAGGAATAGTTGAGAGGAGAGAAAGAGGATGGACGAAAATATAAGGAATACTATTATTTATTATATCGAATAGGAGACGATGATACAGGGATCAGAAACGTGACTAGTTAAAGAAGGGAGGGTGAATGAAGAGTGCGGAGAGGAAGTAGAATCGTAAAAGGCTAGAGGGAAGGATGGAGGATGGCGGGCACGGACACTTAACCCTGGGACTTAGATGTGAATTGCTAAAAGTTTTGGAGTTTTGAAGGTGCACGGACACCTAAACCCAGGTTCAAAGAATGAATTGCTAAAGTTTTTGGAAAAGTTATCGTGCACGGACACCTAAACCTGGGTTTAGGCAGGTTCACTGTACAAAAATGGTAAGTTTACTAGCAAGGTTGTAAAAATATGGAGGCCTATGAGTAAAACTGTATAAATATTTGTCACTTGTAACCCTAACCAGGACCCCTTCAGCGTGTTTTTTGACTGTAATGCTAACCTAGCGCCCCGCAACTATCGCTTACCCTACGATTCATCAATTCCAACCCTTAAAAGCTTCACCGGCCCCAACAAAGCAGCATTTGGTTGAACTCTTCTAAGAGTAGTAGAGTAGAATAAGATAGCAAAATTTCGTTGTTGATTCTGTGAACCCTTACAAAGTATTCAGCTGGCCAATAAATTTAAAATTATCCTTCTGTAAATGGTACATCCAGGATTATTTTAGCTCATTCTCCCCAACTCTTCCTCTGATGGTCTATCCCATTCAAATTTCGCCATCGTCTCGACTAAAACAAGTGAGAGTTTACTCTTAACCATGCGCTGATTTCCCTCAATACCATCTTTCACTTCAGCAATAATGTCTTGCTCCAGCCTGTCCAACCTGGCCCGCTCACTCCGAATCTGTTCCATCTTTCCATCTCGCTTCTGCCGGAACGAACGGTTCTTGATATCGAAATCGATAAGTAGCTTTCCAATATCTACTTCGAGCTTCTTGATGAGATCCTCATATTCTTTAACATGTAATACCCCCATGAGTCTGCGCGTGTCGCTGAGAAACTCGTCTATCGTATCCAAAGTCAGACGTGTGCGGTCTCTATTGGCTGTTTGTATATCACATAGCCTTCGGAATAGTGACTGTAGACTTTCAGTGCCGACTCCTGCGTCAAAGATCTCGATTCGATCGAGAAACTCTCTCATCCAGCGATCCAAGGTTACAGCTTCATTGCAATCCCACGAGTTTTGCAAGAGGATCGTGGGGATTTCTCTGCAACCGTATTCGTAGCATGCTCTTTCAATATATCGCTGCAGCTGTACCATCAGCTCGTACTGACTGCTGAGTGGTAGATTCGCTGCGTCATCTTTGTCGTCATATCGATACCAAAAGTGTACACATTCGTCGCCCTTATGGTAGAGTTGTAGCCCGTGCTGGTTCTCGTGGTCCTCTTCCGGGTCTTTGGGCTCGGTGATGTCGTTGACTGGGCTGTCGCTGACCAAGACACAGTCATCATCATCGCAAGGTTTCTCCTTCATAACCCGCACATCGATGTATTCCTCTTCTGTTGCCACGGGCTTCGCATCCTTTGTACATTCATCTTCTTCTACTGCGACTTCCGGCTCGCACGGTGGCTCGCACGGTGGCTCGTGCGGTGGCTCAACGCCATACGAAGCCTCCGCCGCGTCGTGTTCGCATGATGGCTCATCGTCATATAAAGCGCCCGCCGCTGGTGTCTTAGATTCCCAAGCGGCCTCCTCGGTGGTGGCTTCCTCGATGGGACCCGGAAACAGCTTCTTTACGGGATAACGTGATGAAAACGCGCCATTCTGCAACAGATCTTGAACCGCAGATGACAGGGGCTCCATTCCATATTTACGGATCAGCTTATCGACGCTTCTTCTGAATCGCTGCTGTTCAATGATCGTTGTGATGAGATATCTCTTCTCTTTAAGGCCATTCGTTCCGACATATTGTATCTGTTCGACGTTTTTGAACTCCGTGTACACGGAGTCTTGATCAGGCAAGTCTAGGTTGCACTCTTTGCAGACGCCGAACTGGTTGTACTTCATCCCCGTACGCACCTGCTTAGGAAAGCAGGCGCAGTAGCGGTACACGTTGGATCTGTCGGTTGATAGCGCCATGGGATCGGGCTCGCTTAGGTAGCGATAGCAAATAAGACTGGGTTGATTGTGAAAAAGAAAAAGTTGTATCTGGACCTTAAGGCATAGTATAGTGTATACACATAATGCGGGGGTTGAGAGACACTGGGCTGTACGTATCATGCAGGGTTGCCTTACTGCCTCACTGTTGCGTCATGCTCCTCACCAAAAGTGAAAATGAGGCTCCCGGTGACGCTCTGTCCTAGCGTTTCGAATTTCCAGATCTCTACCGGCCTGGCTTTGCTAGTACATATTAACAGCCGGCCATGGAGAACACATCAGCGGACCACCAACTACCCAACACGACATCTTCTTATGCCTGGATGGAAAGGTACGATCATCTAGGTTCCTCAAAGTCACTTGTCGCCTCTAACTAACACAAACATGTTTTAGATTATTTGAAACCGGCAACTACTCTGACCTCATATTGACCTCTAACGGCAAAGACTATCCCGCGCACCGCGCCATTGTTTGCTCACAATCTTCGGTTATACATAAAAAGTGCGAGTTTCAGGACACCAACCAAGGTTCCTCATGTGATACCTGTGGAGCCGCACTAAAGTACCGCTTCGATTTCCTAGATGACAACCCCCAGTCTGTAGACTGTCTCATTCAGTATTTCTATCACCGAGACTACCAGAGTGCTCGTGATGGTCATAAAGGCGAACAAAGAGACAGAACTAGCAACGGAAACTCGGAAGAGATACAAGACTCAGATGACTACGTCGACGATTCTTATCCGGTCTTTCACGTCAGAATGTATGCACTTGCCGAGAAGTACGACGTATCAGCTCTTAAGAACCTTGCAATCGATAAGTTCAACCAAGTGGTGCAACCAAGCGTATTATCAGATGAATTCTTACACGGTGTAGAGGAGGCATATGTATCAACAATACCAGAGGACAGAGGGATGCGCGACGCTATTGTCAAGCATTTCCATACTCATCCAAAACTGCTGGAAGGCGAGCGCACGCAGGAGACCTTTCGGCGCATACATTCATTACCATACGACCTACTTATGTTTTGGCACAAGGAACACACTAGTCAACGACCACCTGCTGTTAGCTGGGATAGTTTCTGATTTATAATACTGAAATACGCCATGGGCACTTCCGTGCTACAAGTCTTCATCTATCATCTCCATACTCGTGTAGACGATCATCTCCCTTACCTAACCCTCCTACATCTCTCATTCCTAGAAAGCTTGATTTGCTAGCTTGTCGGCGTCTTGATTTTGTCCTCGGGGTACCTGCCAGAATAAGACTTCGACTCGGGATGTGTTTAGATTCTCGATAAGCGCGTGCAACTTTTTGAAGAGCTGGTCGTTCTTGACAGGCCCACCCTTTGCATTCCTATATCCCTTGCTTTCCCATTTGAACACCCACTCAGTCATCCCTTTGACGAGGTATTCCGAATCTGCTTTGATGACGACTGTGTGGAGAGGTTCTTTGCCTAGTGCCTTGGCTCGTACTATCTCCATTACTTGCTCAAGTGCTAGAATACCGGCCCTTAGTTCTGCGATTTGGTTCGTCACATGAGACTCGGACAAAAGAACGCTCTGATTGAACTTGGACGTCTCGCTGACGAATACTCCGATGGCAGCCCTCGCGCTCGGTGTGCCATTGCCTCTACAGGCGCCGTCGACTGCAATGACGATGCTATCAGTATGCGGCGCAACGCAGCTACAACTACTGCAGGGACGATCGTCGTCGCACGCAACATAAACCCAATCCTCATCATAGTTGCGGACTTCTATAGAGCCCTGTATCATGTCCTCAGCATAGCGTAGGCTGGGCTCGAATTTTCGGTTATGTATCCACTCTCGATCGGCCGGCCGGTGGTGGGCGTTGGTCACCATAGCGGGGGTCCCGCCTGCAAATGGTAGGACGGGAGCGGATGTAAAGGTTGGTCGATGTAGTACGGAGGATGAATTAAGTTGCTGGCGACGACTTACTGCGAAGTGATATGTTGTTTCGCTTCGTGAAGACCGTGGAGGGTTAACAGCTTTTCCCCATTCATCGGAAATATCAGCCGCATCATGTACTGTATGGGTGCCTGAGCGCCTAAGTTTTGATTCAGGCTGTGAATGCTAATAAAACTTGCCAATCTACCCAATCAACTGCACTTGCTTTACCCCGAGCCAACAGGACCCGTCGATCGTCACCGACTCCTCAATCCCTCTTCTAAGGACCCAATTACGTAGCTGTTCACGACAAGGTCGTCATAATATCTAGTGCATTCCTTTAAATGACTTGACTGTTGTCTAGCGCGGTGGCTGAGCCTGTAGGTAACGAGCTCATCACGAGCGGCTGTCAGTCGCCTAGCTGGCCAACAGGTCGGCTTCCTTGTTCATCTCACGAGGTACATGCCAGAACAGAACCTCGAAGTTAGATTTGTTTAAGACCCCAGCCAGCCCCTGTAGCGTTTTGAACAGCGCCGTGGTCGCTGTGTCAATAGGTCTGTTTGAGGACGATGGCGGGTGGGGAAATGATTGGAGTGTTGATGCTGGGTTAGCACACTTGGTGACTGATTTAGTTACTACGGGTAGGTGCACTGGTAGGTAAACGTGACACTTTGACAGGTTTGGTCCAGTGACCAGGTGTCTCAGCCGTGTTATGTGCTGCACGGGTGCCTAAGCGCCTAAGTTTTCAATCAGGCTTAACAAACCAACATAGCTCTCGCGTCCATCTAATCAGCTTGACTAAAAAAGTCTCACTAACTCTCACCAATTCACCAAGCCAGGCTACCTCGACCGGAAGACAAGATCATATGCAATATTCTAAGGCCGATCGCCAGGCTGTCCACGTTTCTCCCCGATGCAAAAGACTTTTCTCCCTTCCCGAAAATCTAGCACTTCGTAAGCAAAAGGCGATAAGAACAGTGGTGCAAAGGCACAATCTTACCGTCTCAAATTTCCCTCAAAGGAAGCTTGTTCAGATCTTACAGTATCTACTCCAGCAAGGCGTCTTCCGCTCATACAACACCGCCCGTAGCACCATTCCGGGGCCCGCTTCAGTGCCAGCGGTACGGCAAGAGCCACAAGGGGTCGCTAAGCCTTCGGAGCTTGACCTATATGGATGCATTATGGATGACCATAGGGCATGGATGAGGGAGTAAATTATCTTGGGTGACTGGCGTAGTGAAAACACTTTGCTAATACCTATGCAGTCTCTTCCACACAGGAAAATACTCCGACATAGACCTCATATCCAACAATCAAATATACGAAGCACATCGGTCCGTCGTTTGCTTCATGTCTCCTGTCATATACCGGTCCTGCGAGTTCAATACTGCCAAGCTTGGTCGAGTTGAGTCAGAACCGAATAAGTCCGATCATGGCACCGCCAAGGCTTCATTCAGTTTTGGAGATGACGATCCCGAGGCAGTAGATTGCTTAGTGCAATTCTTATATCTGTGGGACTATGAAGTTGCATCTCCTCTCTCTGATGATGTCCTCGACCGCGACGAATCTCGAGAAGATACCGACTATTCACCTCTACCAGACGATAACGTAACTGCTCTCGAGGCTCGACAACTGCTTCTTCACTCTAAGGTCTTTACACTTGCTCATATGTACGATATTCCTCGTCTCAAAGAGTTATGTGTAAAAAAGCTACAGGAAGCGGCTAGGCAGCAATGGAGATCTCGTTATCTGTTAGACGCAGCACGGGAGGCATATGCCGCTACCCCATCCGATGTCCTGGAGATGCGGAAAGCCATAGTACAAACATTTTTTGAACACAGAGAGCTGTTGGATGAAAGTCACGTCCGGGAGTTTCTACTAGAAACACCCCATCTGACATTAGATATCATGTTGCATATAAACAAATCTCCATCGCCATTTCGAAGCTCTGGTCATGGCTTGTTTGGATGCTAGTCACTTGTTCTCTTCGACGTATATGGCTGTGACTGGCTTCGTCAGCAGCTATCAGCAAGCCCAATGTCTGGCAGGGTGCCTTCGGCTTGTCTCATGGCTGCGGATATGTCGCGCTCAATAGAATCTTGAAGATTGCTAAGGGTTTCCTTCAAATAGCGTTGTGCTTCTTTCTGCTGCTCTAACGTCTTCCTTTGTGCCTCAATGTATGCAAACTTTTCATCTGCTTCTTTTTGGACCGTGGCAGCATTTTCAATAACCGCGTGGAGTATGCTTTTGATAAATGCTCTGAACCAAATTGGAAAATGAGCTGAAAGGTGTCCATGTTACGGAGTGCGGGGACTGATAAACTATTAGACTGTACGTACTCTGCATAGTTGCCTTGCTGCCTTACTCTCGAGACTCTGTACTGAGAGACCAATCCGACCGCTTATTTACAAGGGAGTATTGAGACAGCCTGCTATAAATTCGTCATATTGCGAATGTGGCTTACAGTCACATGAGCCGTCCCGTTCAACCAATATGTACAGTACCTTCCCCGCTCCTCACCTGTTCAGATCACCCTCCTTTCCATCCTCACACGGCTTTCCACTACAGTATCGAGTGACGAACCATAAGAAACATTCAACCTTCCCTGGAACGTCAGCCATGTCCTCCCAACCGAGCTTTACGAAGCCAGGCATGTTTGAAAGGCCAGTAAGTATTTATTTAATCTCGGCCGGGTGTATACCTCACGCTGAGATCGTTGCTGCTCATCCGATTCTGACCACACATCGTCCCTAGACTATAGAAATGATACCGAAGACCCAATGGTATGCCGATTACTCCAACGGCCCTCTCACGGCCCCCTCCAACGTAGGCCTGTTTCATCGGCTTAACAGCAGCACAACCATCAACACGCGCGTAACAAAGACTCCTGAAATGTTGGCTATCCAGTCTCAACTGGAGAACAAGAACGATCTGTTGCAGAATGGGACTGTCAAAGGGACCGCGCTGTTGGCAAAGTCGAACACAGGACACTCGATGAGTTCAATTCAGCTCGAGGGGAGCAGGAAGATGTTAGACAATAATACTGTGAACCAGCTGCTAAGGAACACGGATGTGACAGGGACCGCGGGTTTGATGAAGGTACACGGGGGTCCCTCGATAGGTTCGATCGAACTCGAGGTAAGCAAGAGGATGAATAAGACCGGGACCACTATCTACGCCGGAGCGGGCAACGTGAACGGCACATATACGTACAAGGCAGGTCTGAGACCGAATGGGTTATAAACACTGAGCACCGAGCTAGGTCGCTTAAGAAATCGACTGATTTGATTACCCTGGCGATGAATAGTATATATAAGGAAATAACCTTTGTTTCTGCAAAGTTGCTTTACTATCACGTTATAACATCGCGCCATATGTAGAACTAAGCTTAATGAACTAGAACCAGCCTACCCTTGCATTTGTTGCTTACAGATACCAGTAAGATATATGCCACTGCGCCTCCAAACTAATATCTTGATTATATACTTTTAACAAGTAGCACGGAAGCGCAGACAGGTTTATGAAAATAGCATCCATAACAATAACATACCTCTAACTCTTTCTCTATTGTATCCCCTTATATTCCTCGACCCCAGCCAATTTGGTCAACGATTCTCAGCCAGTCCAATATCTGGTAAGGCGTCTTTGGCTTGTCTCATGGCTGCAAATATGTCACGCTCGATGGAATCTCTGATAAGCCTCATGTTTCAACCAACAAACTGCGTATACCATATAACATATACAGGCTGAGTTCCATATCCAGTTGCACAAAGCTAGTGGTAATATACAACATAGCATCTACTATCCTGTTACCTCTAGCTCCTATCTGGCACCCACTTCTCACAGATCATCTCTAGATAGAGGTAAATGTAGATATCTACGGATCTGCTTGATAGAATAGATGATGTGAGATGGGTATGTGTTCTGTTGTGGATGGGTATTCAGATCCTGGTTTAACACGATGGCTGCAACGGTGTCCGCCAGCTTGGCATCGTCAGGAATGGTTACACACGGCTTGATAATATGTGTACAGAGAACTGTGCGGCTACCGTTCTTGGCAGTCACAGACATGACGCCGTTGATCTTGTCCGGGTTGGGGAAACAGAGTATCTGCTGACAGAAGCGGTAGTATAGCACGCAAAGGAACCGTTGTGCCGTGATGAACGGATTATGGCTGAGCTGCTCGAACGCTTTAATGGCCCTCTTAACCTCCACGCGGAAATGCTGGCTTTCCAGATGTCCACGGCTAATGTCACTATCGGCGAGGGTCCATGCCCAGGCAAAATAGGTTGAAACGTGCTTGATGAAGAAGCGGTGGTTCCCTGGAGGATTGCAGTCTCTTCCCTGCACGGTTCTTGACTCAGCACGCACGCCAGCCAGGGTAAACTCGAACACGTCCATGTCCGGCACTCTATTCTTTCTGCCCTTCGCTGGGAAGAGAGCCAGGTATGCCGCTTCCTTATAGCTGCGAATCAGGAGCTGCGAGAGGATCCCAAGCACATCTTCAGCCTGCTCCCGCGTGCGGATGTCCTTGCTGATGGCGAGGCTAATTACCTGGTCGATAAGGTGTCTAGACTGCCGCAGCGATGCCTCTTCTAGCCAGTGTGCCTTGATGACGAGCTGTGGCACCTGAAGCAGGTCCGTGGCCCAGTCGTGGAGCCGAAGCTCATGCCAGTCCACTACGTCTTTCGGGAAGAAGGAAAATCCCCGCTGCTCTCTAGAGCGGGCCATATCGAGACCGATGTTGCCCCGGGCAGTGGCCGCGAGCGGCGCAGACAATATCCTGGCTAGTGCATGGGGCTGATGGTTGATGAAATGCCGGAGAGCAAGCGTCACGATGGCATAGAGCGATGCCGCTGACTGCGGTGTAGATGGGTCTCGCGCCCAGTACGACATGATGTAGTCCATGAGCCGCAGATGCTTGTCAATGTTCTGTCGTACAAACGTGTTAAAGTCTCCAGCTGCGAGTATATAGAAGGCATCCCGATCCGGTGCCACGGCAACGGCACCTGGCTCATCAGATAGCCGGTTTACCCGCTTGATCAGTCGCCACCAGGCCTCCTCCGCCGGCCGCAGCTGAGCCGCGAGTGATGTCGTGATGCGCAGCTCAACCCGCCAGCCGTACCCCCGTGACGGGTCCTCGAGGTTGCTAGCCATGCGCTGGATTGACTGCGATAGTGCCCGTTCCGCGTCCTGGCGGCTAGCCTTGATGTTACCCTTTCGGGCCACTGCCGCCCAGGCCTCATCGCTGTGCGCGAGGTTGAAGATATTGGGGTGTGAGAAGGCCCAGATGGCAGCCACGTTGAAATTCCCCTCCTCTACGGTGTAGGACTGTACATACGAGACGCCGCGCCTAAAGATAGGACTAGTTCTCCTGGGCTCTGAAGTGATGGAGATGGAGTCTCGCAGCATGTGTACAGGATACTCCGTCGTGGCGGCGCGCGGGATCCGAGGAGGCTTCCAACCGTCTCCTGTAGCCTGCTCCTCCTCGCTCCTCCTTCCGCGTGGAGCTCGCTCGTCGTCTCCGTCATGGTTATTTTCACCCTCCCCTTCCTCACCTTCCTGGCTACTACCGGCCTCGTCATTCCAGTCACTATCAACCTCGTCCTCCGCCCGCGGTGCTGCCCTCCCCAGTAGAGCCTCTCCAGGCTGCCCGTAGAGAAAACGCAAGGTGTTATACTGGCAGCACCGCCGAGCCAGAACAGTATGCCCACTTCTCGTTGGTAGGAGCTCGGATGCGACGTCGACAAGCTGGGTCTGCCCCCGCAGCGTCGGTTCTGTCCTGTCGTTGCCGTAAGCAGGGTTGCCACTGCGACTGCTAGCTGCCGGCTCCTGCTCGAAATTGACGACGCCACATCGGGCGCGGAAGTCTCCCAACACCCCAGCTATGCTGCTGCCGGGAGATTGATGCCACAGCTTGGTGTCCTTGTAGCTGCAGAGGAAGATAGCATCGCCAAACTGCCACAGCCTACTGGCATCTTCTGTCTCCCGCACGCCCCCGCCGTCACCGGGTCGGAGCCCGTCAGCTGCCATGTCGCGCTCCGCACGATCGAGTGCCTCCTGCATGACACTCCACAACCTGGGGAGGTTCTCCTCGCTATATGGCACCTCAAAGGCCGCCCCACGTACAGCCGCAGAGCCCGACGATTCCCTGGCGATGCGCGATGCCGCCTGGACGGAGTCATAGCTTCCAGGCAAGTGGTGCACAAAGTGCGGTCCAATCTTCTCAATACTTGGCCTGATAAAGCCGTCGAAGAACAACCGATTCTGCTCCTCTCGCAGGGGTACTGGGCCTTTCTTCCGACGCTTCTCGTCGTAGAGTCGCGGGAAGAACATGTAGACCGTTCGTGGCCTTTGGTGAGCAAGTACCGTATGCGGGATCTAGTAGATCGGGACCTGCTTGATCTTCTCTCCTACCCGTATGGGCACGCGGACGTGAATGGACTTGGAGAGGAGGAGGCTGGGCTGGGCTGTTATACATATGTTCAACGGCCCTCTCAGGCTGCGCGGGTCTTTCGTGATATGTAGGAAGCTGTCGATGTCATGAACGGCGGGCGCCAGCTTCCGCTGCGGCACGTCGTCTTGGTGCAGGCAGACCTCGGCATCTGACCATTCTTTGTCTTCGTGCCAACCTGCGAATTGGGCTTCAAGCCGGCTGGCTGGTGGCAGCTGGTCGCGGCGGAGGCCTGTGACCGAAGCATCAAGTGGTCGGACGGTCCGGTCTAGGCCGAACTGTCGTGACTGTTCCTCTCGCTCGGTGAAGGACAACCCGCTGGCTCTGGCGCTGGACCCAGCCCACGTCTCGCGCAGGTGTAGATGTCGGCGGCAAGTTGCGAGATGTGATGCGTCCTGGTCCTTGTGTTGACCCAACGGGCACGACACCAGACCGGCGTTGAGGATGTAGACGACACGTCGAGCCAGTTTCTCCCCTTCGTCCAAGTCTTCCTCTTCAACCCAGTTATAGATTTCCTGACGTGTAGGCAGTTCCGCAGCAACGCGTTCGGCTCGCTCTTCGTCTTGTTCTACATTGACGGGATGCTCGCTTCGGGTGACAAGCGTTTCGCGTCGGTCATTATTTGCCCTGTTTATCATGCCGTCTAGGGCGAATAGTTAGCAGGCTCATTGTACTGTGTAGAGGTTGAGTGTTTGACCTGGGTAAGGCTCATGATTACATGGAGGTGTTGAGCGTATATGCCATGACCTGTCATCGGCCGAATCCATCTGCATATCGGGGCTGGATGCTAGCGACTGGTCATTTAGCGACATGTCGCCGTCAGGGGCAGCTATGTCTGCCATGTCATCATCTATCGAGTCTAGATCAAATTGATTTCATGTAAGTGTTGGCATTTCGAGGTTTGTGTCTTAAAAACCCGCACCTGGTATATATTCTTTTCCGCCGTAGTGCTGTCTAACTGGAGATCTAGATGACGGTCGCTCGTCTAAATGGCTCCCTCGTCGCGACCTGGCATTCCCGGAAGACTCATCGATCGATGGCGACACATTCGACCTTACAGATGATGTTGATGATGATGGCTCAGGGAACGCAGTGCTTGTTGCGATGGGGCCTTCGGTGTTGCTGGTGGCAGAGGAAAAATCCGAACATAGCGTGCCAGAGCTTGCTTCTCTTCGAGATGTCCTTCTTTCGGAAGCTACGGGTAAAGGAGGACTTGATTGTAGATATCGAAGGATGGTGTCTTGAGGTCGGGTTGTACGGAGGCCAGATACAGACGAGCGTGAGGAAGAAACACCTCTTCTCTTGCAACCCTTGGATTTAGATCCCATTTTTGACGTGCCTTTGGTTTTCTGGCGCTCTGGAGCCATCATGTAGATGGCGGTTTGAATTCTTGATACGTAGTAATGGCTGTTGTCCTAGACTAGAATATCGCCTGGGCTTTGCTATGAAGATGCAGTGTTTTAAGTCTAGGGTAGTTAATAGTGGAATTAACTTGCAAACGACAGATGCCTCAAGCATCCCCTGAAAGTTCTATACATCTGACCTGTAGCATTAGGTTTAATTCTTAAATTAGATGTAACTTGACTAATTTCCTTCCAAACTTTATTTATCAAACATGATGCTATCGCATGTGCGATAGGCAATTCGTTCCGACAAAGAGACCAATCGCAGTCGTTTGAGCAAGGTTTATAACGAAGTATACCCCTGCAGCCCCTGCGAGATTACGAATACATTCATCACTTTATCATTTTAAACCCCTTTCCTCCCTCATCTACAACAGTAGGAAGGAGGAGGCCGTGGAAAGAAGTCGTAATCATCAAGAGGCAGACCAGCGACATGCCACCAACAGGCAGAAAAAGGACAATAGTTCCATCGGCTACTGCTACAGCAGAGTCTAACAAACGTGCTCGCTTACCCAACTACGCCGGAGATTCTTCCAGCTCATCCAAATCTCGACACGGAAGGCTCGGATCGTCCGCGCGCCACGCTCTGGACGGCAGAGGTACCACGGCCCCCAGAAGTGACAAGGGTTCGCCACCAGTGTTTTCGGACACGGGCTTATTCGTTGCCGATGACCTTGACGCGTCAGGGGCTAAGTCAAGCCAGCCTGTCTCGCGGAAGACCCTTCATTCTGGACAAGATCCTGATGCCGATGTGCACAGCAGTCTGCCGTCTAGCTTCCTTCCGGATTCCACCTCACACGTCATCCCAAGTACAGACACTGCTGGCTTGTTGACACAACATACATTACCGCCATCCGAGGTGCCGGATGACCATAGTCTTACTGATCTACCTAAGACCCTCTCCAGATACGAGAGGAAGCTTAAGAAGTTTTTCGACCAGTGGCACGCATCCCTCGTTAGAAAGGGCATATCGGAGCATCTAGCATACGAGCTTGCCAAGCGTTGTGTTCAAGCCAGTGATGAAGAAGGCGATTCAGATACAGAACGCCATAACGTGCGTCGCGTAGAGAAGCCACGCTTTCCTCCAGGTACGCTATTGAAAGGCATCTAGCTCTTCCAGGCATCCACCCAAGTCTTGCCGCATGTGCTAAACAATCATGGAGATGACAACGAAGACAGCGACATCGCCTCACGACCATCTGCCAACCCTGTTCTCACACGGGTCCCTCAGACCGATAACGAACCCGTTGTGATACGGCTTGGCGCAGGTGCGCGAGCATTAAGGCAGGGACTGGGCGGAGATGACAAGCCAATTACTCTAGTGGAGGCTTTGAAAGCAAAGAACAGACTCAGGAACGATTCCAAGGAGGGACATGGCGCTTTCGACACCCTAGCTGTTGCTCAGAGGCTGCAGGAAAGGGACTTTAAAGGCAGGTTGTCCTCTCAAGAGATCTGCGTTATAGGTATTGCCGTTCTACATGAGGTGTTCGGCGACCGAGGCCAGAAACGGCTCACTGATGCACTGACACATCTTTATGGTCGCCACCCGCGACGTCACCTCGCCGACCTCGACCGGAACGCGGGCAGGGTGGCAGACGAGATACGCGAGGGTGGGCAGGCGACACTATCTAGCTTTACCCTACGTTGGGCTCAGGCAGTTCAGCACGACAGCCCAAACATGTTGACGATCGACGATATTCGACTGATCGACATGAAGGTGACCCTCGTCCGTGAATGGGATCGCTGGTCGAACCCGACCGCGGCAGGATCCAATAAAGACATTGAAGACTTCCTCATCAAGAACGGAATAAACACCAACGCGGGGCTGTCCCTTTCAACGAGAATAGCCAAGTATCTCAGCAGGAAGCTCGGTCTTCCCGAAGGTACCTTGGCGAAGAAGATCTATGCTTGGCGACCGCTGGCAGTGATGGCAGACGTATTTGGCGCTGGTATTTACGTCTTTGTCTCTAGGAGCCTCTTTACTTGCTATAATAAGATTCGTCCAACCGATGGCATTAAAAAGGAGGATAAGTTCCGTGTCATGGCGCTTGCTGTTGCAGACGAGATCCCTGACCTTCTGGGAATTTGCGAGGCGTCGTACGCGCATATTGTCCAGCCCATCCTGGAGTCGCTCCTTACTGGCAATAACATGCAAGATCTTTCCAGGGACTTAAGAGTTCCTGGGGTTCAGATGGCTACAGACGGTGATCTACACAGCTTGCGAAAAATGTCCATTCCAGAACTGCTCGGTGTTTGTAGCTCTCCACGAGGTTTTGTGGAGGAGTTAGATAGCGTGACAGAAGAAGCTGAGACGACACTGGTCCGCCAACAGTCTATCGTCCGCAGACATCATGATGATGAAAACGGCAAAGATAGCACTGGTGACGAGGACAATGACGATGACGAAAGTGGGGAGGAAGATGATGATGAGAATTACAATTGATACGAATCGAGACTTCGAGAAGAGACTCTGATGTTTGACAGAAGTGGGACTTGATCACATATGTGATAGTGGGGACCCAATCTCACATCATTGTAATAGACAAACCCAACCCTAACAGCCCAGTATAAAACGTTTCGCCCCAGCGAGTACGCCGCATCCAGTTAGTGAGTAGCTCTTTCTTTTCAAGAGTTCCACCGGAACCAGGTGAGCATTGTTGCTCATCCAAGCGGTCGCGCTCCTCCGAGACCAATTTCTGGGCAAATTCTTTGACAACGTCCGGAACTGCTTGTACGGGTCGATAAGGGCCCTTTTGCAGTGATTGTTGATCGTCTGTGGTCAGGACGATCCAGGATCTCTGAATGTCGTTGGCCTTCCAACTCTGGAAAGTAAGACCGTCTCGGATATGATCGCGTAACCATCGCTTCCCCCTTGCGCTTGTGCCATTTATCTCCCGGGTATGTTCTTTCTTCAGATGACGTGATAGTATGTCATGACTTGTGGACCGCAATTTGCAGTGCTTACACTCCGCTCCAATCTGAAGGGCTAGGAATGGATGCTGTGCAGATTCATCTCGTCGCTTCGGCAGCTCATCCAGGTCAGGAAGGCGCAGAGAATTGACGAGGGTATTGAGCTTCTGCCGACGATTTTTAGATATCCCATGTTTCTCTTTGAGATGGCGTCCGACGCGGTCGTCGTCTGTCTTTAAGGCGAAACCACAGGGTATGCAAATGATAGCTTGGTCTAGAATGTCATAGTGAAGTTCTAGACTCTTGAGCACCTGAACTTGACTTGGCGTGATGTTTTGCTGATGAAGACGGTTTTTTGAAGGCGCTGAAGTAGACATATTGAAAAGATGAGATGCCTGAGGGAGAAACTGTTCCAACTCGATCGGTGACCCGTTAGCTACAAGTGAGAAACGCTACCGTCCAGGAGAGAGCAGACTTGAAGTCAAATTAACTAGGTATTTTCGTTACCAATGATTGGCTCTTGCCTACGCGCAACGGAATCAGCATGGGTGGCACGGATCACCGTGACATGAACTGGGCCCCGTTTCGCGATTTGGTAAACATGACCTAAATCGTCACGGGGCCCGTTACGAGTTTTGAAAATCCATGTCGGTTTTTAAATCTCTGATTGGCCTAAAACCGGTAACGGGCCCCGTTACCGGCTAGAATACTAGAGTAGAATGGTCAATGGACACTACTAGAGACCGTCGCCAGATTGTTGTGAGGGTTAGAAGGGCTAAGCTCCGTCATAGAGTTGAGTGCCATGGTCTGATACATCGTTTCTCAAAATAAAAATCAATAGTAGTTGCTAGCTGGCTGTCACCTTGGTCGCGAAAGGTGCTGGCAAGCTAGAATCAGAACTTGACGCGTTGCTATTGACGTGTTGTCTTGCCTGAACGTGTAGCCAAGCACCAATCAGAAATCCAAATCAACCCCTTGTCAAAATCGAGCTTACCCCAGTGCTAGTCCATTTTTCAAAATTCAAGTTTACCCCTTGTCAAAAATCAATTCTACCCCCTGTAAAGTGGGGTAAAATAAATCAATTGTTGTACAATTGATTTGGGACTGTAGTACTAGGCAACAGGCCTTCAGATACAGCTGTTAGGTAGGTTCCTAACCGCAACGCTTGTCGTACTGGACCCATTCTGGATATGCTGAATGAGGCACGTCTGCAGTCTCCTTGTCGTAAAGGTAGCAATTACTCCAGCCTGAAGCCTTTCTGGCGCTGTACGCCAGACATCTGCTGTCGTTCTTACATCTCTGTTTGCAGTCGCTGAGGTTCACTCCCTGCAAATATAGATAGTAGCCTTGGCCCCATGTGTCAACCGCACAGGATGGTGGTGTCTTTGAACCCGCCTCGAGGTCGGCATGGCATTTGTCCAGCTCAGTCTTAAATCTGTCCTTCTCTTCCTCGCAGGTCTCCTTAAAGGGATCCTCCTCCTCCTCAGGGAAAGGATCCTCGGGCTCTTCCGGGACCCTAACCATGTAGGTGGCGCCAGTGCTTGTACCTTCCCTGCCGTTAGGGTCGCCGACAATGCACTTCTTCTGTCCCGCGTGGTAGGTACAGACGTCAATATTAGCAGCCTGGCACTTGGCGGCGCAGTCTTCGTGACTGAGAACGTTGTTGTAAGGCTGGCCAAGGCGGTACTTGCCGCATTTGAACTCAACAGTGTAGCCAGGGCTGATGGTGACGCGTTTGCCTTCTTCACAGGCTTGTTGGGCGCTTGCCATGCCCATAAGAGCAACATAGGTGTAGAGGATAGTAGCTTTCATTTTAATGGTTGTTTTTAAAGAGGGAAAGAAATTGTTTTTGTATAGACGTAGCGAGTAGCTGCAGTTATTCTTGGATAAAGAAGGAATAAGAAAGGTCTTTGGGTAAAGTGTAGATAGTTGAGATGCAGATAGAAGGCAAGTAGAGAGTTAATGCTGCCGCTTCCCAGTTTATATAGATAAATTTAAAGCTCTTGAATATTCTTAATACTTCCTTAGTACTTGCTTAAGCATAATGCATTCGGTGTATGAGCACTATTTTATTACTCTAAGACATGTCTCGGCCTTTCCTTGAGTACAAAAGTCCCAGCTGTTGAGACATTCTTATGTTAGAACTCTTCCCTATAACCCTGGCTTTCATAAAGTTACCTATTCCTAATCATATAGCAGATGGGATATATTAAGTATATGTTTTATCTAGGGGCATAAAATATTAACCTCGAATATGAACTCCCCTCTCTGACAGCTATAAAACCAAGCGTTCCCCAGTCACACTATAGTTGACATATAGCTACAATAGGTCTGATATCATAATCCCTACTCTGAGAAAAGAATTTCTTTGCCGCTTACCTGCGGTGTTTGTTTACATGCCGTCCCCACGAATGTCCTATGGTCTCACTTCTTTCCAGTTGTGTCACACCCTCCCCAGATCCTCACCTTGCGCTCCTTGTGTAAGACTCTGGCAGGAACAATTTCCCCCTTTTCAATGCCTGTGTCACTTCTGCATATGGTGTTTGATGGGCAATATTTACTTGTCTAACCGACTGTCAGCCCGCTTCCCCGATGGTACAGCCCTAGTGTTTCAGGTAAAAGTGGACTGCCCTTCTCCCTGCCTTCAGGAACTAGCTCAGCCTCAGCGATCTGTAGTAAGGCACCTTAGCATATTGCCGCACCCCACCAGATACTGCAGAGCCGTACTAAGACCAATTTAACCCTTGAGGGATCGTTACAAATATCATTTCCAGCATAATATAAAATCCAAGACAGTCTTAAATTTCAGCTTGGCTCAAGCCGATCCTCTTGCCTTATTTCGCAGCTTATGTCTCAGTTTAACACCCTTACCCTTTTGGGCCAGACGGTATCATAGCCAACCGCTGCCAAACAGTCACATTCCTCTACTCTAACAATCGAGCTTGAAGTCTCTTGCTCTTCTGCCGTCTCCGGTATTTACTCGAAAAAGGGGTTGACAGCGGGCATAATCAATACGGCACATTATGTCCTGCTGAGGCACAAATAACAGCAGGATGCAGTGTCTCTCCGTCACAGCTGAAGTGAGACATATTCTCCGCTAGCAGGGACAAGGTTCTAAAGATCTAAGAATCGGCACGGCAAATGACGGCTGATAGCAAAATATAAGGGCAACCTAACTCATGGTAACAGAAAAATATGGAGCAGCGCTATCAGCCCAGGACTTCTACTCTACAGTTATCCCGTACTGAGGATTTAATGGAAATTCTAGTTCCCATCAGGTATCCTTCAGATTTTCTCTAACATTGTATGTAGTTTTAATAAATACGAAATGCGGCTTAATAGATACGACTTTAAATGCCAGTTCAATCCTTACTATCTTTTAGTCCGGTTAGGCCCTTGTGAAATTTCAAGTGGCATGCTGGCATGGTGTGTTTTATCTGAACCCACTTGATGGCCTGTCTGAAACCTTTTTACGTATTCCTAAGTCCAGTCTACGAATACCACTGAGACAAAAGAACTATTATGGCTAAACCGTCGGTATAGTTATTAACTAGAACGTGTAAAGCCTATCACAAGGTCCCGAGGCCAAAGCTCCGAGTCAACAGCCAAGGCTAGGGATGGATGGCTTTTTCCTGGTATGGTATAGTCTCAGTTGAGCTCGAACATCACCCAAGCTTCCAACTTGGCGCTAACTATCTCCTATGCCGTGCGGGGCTGGAGACATCATCATTCTTTTTCCCCCTTTAGTAGCGTAATGAGTGGAGTATTAATCTTAGGATTGCTGATTCACTAAGTTTACAGATAAGTTTAACTGTATCTACGAGATAAATACAGCAATTATAGCGACTTACTATAGAATACCAAGATCCTAGACAACCGCTCTACTCTTTATTCCAGCTTCGATTTAATCACTGATATATAACAGAAAGTCATCAGTAAGGGTGAATCCAAACAAATCTGGATCAGAAACTATATCCCTCATCCTCTAAGTCAAAGCTGAACTGAGACATTGAGACTATTGATCCGCTTTATCTAAAACAATTGCTATATTCATTTCATTGCAATCTTCCTGTAGGATATTGAAGATAACAAACACTCGGCATAATTATCGAGAAGTATAATCAGAGTTAAAGAAGAAGTTGGTGTTCAATACAGAAAGAAACTCAGGTCCCTAAAAGTATAAATACCTGCCCAGCCCTCATCCTAGTTCAGGGATCCATTCTTCTATCCTGTATTCACTTCTTACATCTATATGTAATAAGCACCTATACTCCCTATACTTTATACTTGACAGTCTACACAACAGACTTTCATATTTTCTTTTATTATTTCTTTCCCTCTTTAAAAACAACCATTAAAATGAAAGCTACTATCCTCTACACCTATGTTGCTCTTATGGGCATGGCAAGCGCCCAACAAGCCTGTGAAGAAGGCAAACGCGTCACCATCAGCCCTGGCTACACTGTCGAGTTCAAATGCGGCAAGTACCGCCTTGGCCAGTCTTACAGTAATGTCATGAGCCACGAAGACTGCGCTGCAAAGTGTCAGGTTGCCAATATTGACGTTTGCACCTACCACGCGGCCCAGAAGAAGTGCATCGTCGGCGACCCTAACGGCAAGGAAGGCACAAGCAGTGGCGCCACCTACATGGTTAGGGTGCCAGAAGAGCCCGAAGATCCCTTTGCTGAGGAGGAGGAGGATCCCTTTAAGGAGACCTGCGAAGAAGAGAAGGAGGGCCTCAGCGGCAAACTGGGCAAATGCAATGCCAAATTGGACAAATACAACGCCATGCTTGATGCGGCACTGGGAAAACCCTCCTGTGGAGTCGATAAGTGGGGATATGGCTATTACAAAACAATCGGTGGCATGAGCCTCGCCGACTGCAAGGCGGCATGTGATGCCGATAAGAAATGTCTCTCCTACAGCGGTTATACGCCTGAGGGTGTAAGGAACTGTTACCTTTACGATAAGGAGACTGCCAAGGTGCCTGACAATAAGTACCCAGGCTGGGCGCAGTCTGACATACGTTGCAACTAAGAAACCATATGTTCCTCGCATTAGAAGGCTGGCATATCGTTTTACCGGCACGAGGTGGCCACTAATTTGAATCGCTCAATTTCTTTCCGATCCCGCTACCAAGAATATACTGCTATATAGGATACAATAGAGGGCTCTTGACCGTTGTGTTACTAAGAATTTATCACATGCGTCGGCGGCTCTCTCCAGGCGCGTTAGCCAATACTATCAATATTTAATTCTGAGGAGTTAGATAAACGTTATTAGGGCTAATGTTTTAAAGATGTCTGAAAAAGCAATTTGGCAACTCCAGTAGTACAGTATCCTCTTTTACCTTCTAGGGCCAGATTAATAATATTTCTTAACTTATCTAATAATTATCTACCCCTGAAGCCATATTAAGTAATAGTTAAAGTATTTAAGCAGCATTAAACTATCGGGCATCCTACCAAAGAAAAAACCCCTCACTGTAGCCTAGTGAAGCTGGATTAAGAACCCTTTACAACATTTCAAGCATACTTAGATGATTAGATGGTTTACAAAATTCTCGATACCTGCCGCCAAATACTCGGCCGCCCATGCAGCATATAGCTTAGCACATATCTATTAACGTAGGCTATGCCCAAAGTGCATTAATTAGTCATAGAAACGCATTAGACATACGTAAAAGAAGAACGCGACTGCATATCATTGACTAATGTTAATATGGGAATAGTGGATCGTGATCGCCTGAGTGTTAGACCTGCAAGGAGCTATTTCCTGTGCCGTCTCGGCTTTAGATACTGCCGATCCCTTTTTTTTTACAAAAGCACCGAGAGGGGCGAAGCCGTAAGACATCCGGGAACTACTGAGGCTACAAGTTCAATAGCAATAACAGACAGGGGCAACTATTAACAAATTGTCAGTCATGATAAAGCCAGCCACTGGAGCTATAGAGCCGAGGTGAGACATTGACGCTAAATGCAGTTAAGACTATTGACTTAAGTCAAGCGGAATCTTTAGACTGTTTCAGTAATCTCCGGTTTATATTAGCATTGAGCCGTAGATTTAGGGAGTCAAATCTACATTTAAAAATAAGTCAGTTCATAGTGCAGAATAATATTAATGAAGCTCGAAGTTATGTATGTCGAAAGAAATGATAGGCTATTGACTGTTGAAGTTAAGAACTCTGAATGTCTTGGTACGGATGACGAAGGCCGAGCCACTACCCCGATGCGGGAAGGTGACTCACATCCATCAGCAAGATAAGACCTGAAGCAACGGGGAGGCGGGTTAACGATAGGAATGTATGACGAGTATATTGCCAATGTCTTAAAGTAATTCACAAACTATTTTAAAACCCTTTCAATAGTGTACAAGCCGACACCTCCAAGAATGATCGAAAATGTAGTAGAATCCACTGATGTAGTAGCCATATACCTCTTGTTGACTCGTGGACAGTAGTCACCGCAGGCTGGAGGGATAAGGAAGGCAGAGACTGATGATTTCAGTTGGTGGCTATTCCATATCAACAGGATGGTATATCGGTCTTCCAATGAGGCTAAGAGGTGATTCTTTAACCACAACGTTTGTCATACTGAACAAAGTCTGGATAAGTCCTATCAGGTACATCGGCGGTCTCCTTGTCGTAAAGGTAGCAGTTTCGGGTACCATCGCCCTTGTAGGTGCTGTAAGAGAGACATCTGGGATCGGCGTTGCATGCATCCTTGCAGCCCGAGCGAGTCTTATCTTTTATACGGATGTAAAAGTTCTCGCCCCATTTATCGACTCCACAGGAGGGTTTCTTGGATGCGGCCTCAAGATCCGCGCGACATTGATCCAATTTAGTCTTCAAATCATCTCTCTGCTCCTCGCATGTCTCAGGAAACGGATCATCATCCTCAGGGAAAGGATCCTCAGTCTCTTCCTGGACCCTAACCATATAGGTGGCGCCACTGCGCGTGCCTTCCGTACCGTTCGGGTCGCCCACGATGCACTTCTTCTTCTCCGCATGGTAGGTGCAGACGTCGAGGCCCGTAGCCTCACACATGGCGGCACAGTCTTCGTGACTTAGGATATTGTTATGAAGCTGACCGAGGCGGTATCTGTTGCATTTGTACTCGACAATGTAGTTAGGCCTGATAGTGACCCGTTTGCCCTCAACGCAGGGTTCATGAGCGCTTGCCATGCCCACAAGAGCAACGTAGGCATAAAGGGTAGAAGTCTTCATTTTTATAGGTTTTTTTTTGAATCAAGGGTTAGAATAAAAAAGGGTAGGAGAGAAAAATATAAAATAAAAACAGATGAGATATCTTATCAAAGAGGCTGAAAGGACCGGAAGTAGGTTTTTCTAGATAAACAATATCAAAGTTATTATATAGAAATGCAAGGACTGAAAGTCGTTGTAGCATAGGAAAGAATAGTATTTAGATGGAGATTGCTGCTTTGTACTTTATATAGAAAGACGCAGATACACCAAACTACCCTAATGCTGTCTTCGAGGTTACTTCAAGGTAATACTTGTAGTACGAGATTCTTGTCTTATTACCCTGAAACTTGTGCCGGCCCCTCTTTATAATACCCCCGATTGTTAAGACATCTCCTTACGCAGTGATTCTTCTATCTAGCACAACAACAGCCAGATCATTCTGACCATGCCAGTTTCTAAGTCTACAGGCATTGATATCAATTAAGGATATTCACTCGCCTCTTTAACAGCTACAAAGCCGAGTCTTTTATGTACCATACGATTGGTTTCTATTTATACCACGTTGTGTAAAAACCTTCAAATGATGTCACAAAACAAAACAAAGACAATACTTTATGGCCAACTACAATCTGATGCTGGTGAGCTGGACACTGCAGGTATGCCTATGCTATAATCTGGACTTTAACTAGGGTTCCATGGGACTGCGGTATTTCGGTTTAGTAATGCACGCTCTTCTCTGGAGAAGCATTCCTTTGTTGCTAGTCTATTGTCTAAGATTGTATCCCGCCTCCCCGAATGGCTAGCAATATCGCATCTTCTGGATTGGTTACCTGTTTGTCAGGTATTCGTCTCGTACTCCTTGTCGAGAACCCTTGTGAAAACAATTTTCTTTTTTTCTGTGCCTATGCCTCCCTTTGCATATAGTAGCTGACAGGTATTATTGTCTTTTTATCCCTCTCGTCAGCCCGCCTCCCCGATGCTTTTGCTTTCATTGTGTCGTGAAAGTGGATCCCCTTTTCCCGGAGACTGATTCAGCCTTAGCAACCTATATGGAGAAAATTCAAAGCTTCATATTTCATTGATAAAGACACCGATCATAGCTTTTGCGATGTATGGCTAGGTTTCTAGCTTTAATCAACCTACATTCTTAAGGCCATCTGTTTAAGGATAGTCAGGGTAGTAAATAGTTCTTGGTAAAAGTGGACGACTGACAAGATCAAGAGTCAATTAAGGAGGAAAAACCTTGGTGGCAAACGTACTGGCGTCTGTAGAGCCCTTGCAAAATTACTACGACGCGGTCATGAAACATGAGCGGTCAAGATATTAATTAACACGTAGGCGCTCATGAGGTAATATCCTTTTGCGCCACCGAGGTAAAACTGTCTGTGATGAAGGAATGAAATAGCCAATAAAAAGGTTTATCACACTTTTAATTAAACAAACGGTGGGGATCGAAAGCACGGTCCCTCCTCTTTCAGCGTAAAAGGAACTAACAGGTGTTACGACCCTGTCATAGCCCCCGCGATTACGTCATGTGTCCCCACGATTTTTACCAACCATCTACCAATTACCTTGGGACCGACGACGACTTCACGTCCCGTCATTCCTTAAGTAAAACCTCATATATATATACACACTCGCTTAGCACTAAATAGAACGTTCAGCTCACCAGCTATTAATAAAGAATCTTTACTTGAATACGTGTAACCCGCCCTATTCACTATTAAGAAACGTGACACATCGCTCTCGCTCACCATCACCCCCTACGTATCTGCCAACATAAACCCAGTTCATCCCTTGGGAGCCTCAAACGTTATAACAGGGGCATAAGCCAATGAGAGGTGTAGAACCTTTTCTTTCAGTGAGATTGGGACGGACAAGAAGGATATATATACCCTCTTTCTCCACAGATACACAATTAAGATTAAAATGACCTCCAGTAACATACTTAAACAAATATCATGTTAATTGGACAAATAGAATACTGATAAGACATGTTTTATAGAAATAAGACAGGGGACATTGGAAAATAACATAATATTCTACATATTAGATACAATAAAGCCTAACAGTGGATTGACGCTTGGCGCTAATTTCTTTAAATTATCTTACGTATAATGAAACGTAATAGTTCAAGGGGAAGGGTTACTATAATAGACACACACCTAAAAAGCAGAGGACTGGTAACACCTTAGGTAAATGACATCAGTGAGACCATCATGTTATATAATTATGTTTCAACCGTTAAGGTAGCCTGGGAGACTGAGTTATGAAGCTATTGGCCTGTTATTATCCCAGAAAATATCTTCTAGAGAAGTTATCTGTATTTGAGTATAGATAGGTAAGGGGATGTTGGTTTAAGACATTAACATAAATAATAATATGTAGGGAGGCCGCCTTGTTCACTTATCCTACTTTCATTGGCCGTTAAAATACCTTTCTTGTCAAACTATCTGCCCTAGCCATGTAAAATTACTGCTAGACAACCCTATACTTCCGTTTCCGTTTAAAAGTCATGCTGTAGGTGCTCAGACATATTGGCGATAATGTTCTATCTAAGCTTGTAAGTAGAGTAAGTAGAGTAATTGACTAATTTACACCTAAGGGTTCACTGTGCAGATATTGTTAAGTTTGGTATATATACGTCCCTGCCCTTTTTTCAGTGCCTTTATCGGTATTCAAAGTTTTATCTTGATATCTCTAGTATTTCACTGCCAATTATGAAAGCCTCTTTGCTTAGATCAATTATCCTACTTGCATACATTACAGCCAATTCGGTCGCCGAACTCTTCGAGAAAGACTCCCTCCCTCCATGTGCCTCTTCTCTTGAACCCTGCCAACCGATTATATGTCCATGTGCCTCTTCTCTTGAACCCTGCCAACCGATTATATGTAATGAGAAAGGTGGACTCCTCGGTGGCCCTTCTGAATCTGGGTTGGGCTACGCTGCTTGCCACAGGGCCGGAGAGTCTGGGTGTAAGCGCGCCATCACTGATCCTATCTCCTACCTCTACGCTTTAAGCGCTGCTCTCCCTTCTTTGGGACTTCCGGATGGATTGGATCCCCTTGATGGATTAACATCCTTTGATCTCTCTGACATAAAAACTCAGAAGCTTACCTCTAAATTCTCTGAGAGGCTGTCAGCAGAACGCTGTAGGGTGTGCCAGGACGTCGTCAATGGGGTATTCAGGCCTTGCACAACAGCAAACGGACAGCCAGGATGCCGCCTAGCGACGCTAACACTTGAATGTGCTCCCCATCAGCCATTTAAGGTAAAATGCAGTGGAGGAAAAGAACCCTGTGATTATAACGGTTTCCAGGGGTGCCAGACCAGAGACGACAAATATTGTACCACTCAAGCCTACCCGACACCAACAAGCACCCAAACTTGCCAATGTCCAGATGGAAAACCTAACGGAAATCAGCCTGGGCGACCTGGATACTGTCAGGGATATTTAGGTCGAGATGGTTATCATTATGTGTGTAATTCTTGATAGCAACCTTGGAGTATTTGTAATAGGAAAAATACGGGCATCACGACAGGTGAAAAGAGGTCTAGCCTAGATCAGAAGGTCATTTGGGTGTCATTACGATCATAGAAGACAGGAAGCCTGGGTTTTCCGGAGGATTTTATCAGCTTTGACATGCTGTTTATACACAAAACTGGCGCCATTCTGGCCTGGCTATTTACTATGCAATTAATTGATCATTTTTCTTTTACTTCATGAAGGGCCTTGTACTAATAGACCTGCTAATACAAGTTAAGTTAGAATTGTAGATACTGGAAATCTGTGTCTCTTATGCTGTTTCTTACTGGGGTCAATAACCTTTAAAGCTCATCGTTTATACAGTAGGTCAAGGCAATTTTCATATTGCAAACACAAAAGTCAGTTATACAGAAATGCTAGAAAACTGATTCTCATACTAGTCGCTACCATTGAGATACAATATAATAGTAGTAATTAATGCGGCTGAAGATAGCTAACTACAACTAGTAACATAACTATTAAGTGCCTGCCATCATCCCCTTTGTAACGATACACATAGGCTGGTAAGTATAAAAAGACGGTAAAAATGTAAGTCTATAGCTCCTCTATCAGTGAGGCAAGTTTTCAGTGCTCCAACTGGTCGAGGGATGACTCCTTAATCGCAAGGCTTGTCATAATGGAGGATTTGTGGGAAGGTTACTGAAACCGATTGAAACTGCAAGTCCCCAGATTCTTTGTCATAAAGAGCGACGATGCTAGGGCTATCTGGGACGGAGGTGCTCTACGAAAGACACCTAGGATCGGCATGGCACGCAATCTTGCAGTTGGCAAGGTTCGTATAGAAAAGGTATCTGTACGGGCCTGTAGCAGCCTTGTTGATCCCAAGTAAAAAATATGCGCTGGGGAATAGTTGGAAATTTATATTTCTACTAGAATTCACACATCTTATACATAACATCTATTTACCTTAATTAACAGTCGGCAGAATTAGGAGAGGCTAAAATAATGGTAAGCACATAAAACACAATGGACCGCTGAGAACCATTGGAGACTACAGAAGCATAACATGAATAAATATGTAAGTTACAAGACGGCAGGAACCCTGAAATCATTGTTAGATCATTTAGAGTTTACAAAGCAATTTTTATACCCCTTAGAACCTCAAAAAACTCGCTTCTTGGTCCGTTCAAAAACAGTCGTTAATATAAAACTCCACCCCTCCGTGGTCTTTCCTCTTGTCCGCTTTTAGTCGTTGCTGGCGCTGTACCAGGTTTTAGCCCTAGATCCAATCCGTGTGCATGCTTTGAGTGTTTTCGTATTCTCCGTGAATCGGAGCCAACAAATCTACATATCGATATCGACCTCCCTTCTTTATCCTCCACCATGAACGTGCACCGAAACCCTCCAGCTTTAGGCGGCGCTAACACGTCAATTGCTGGCGCAACATCAGGTGGCAACGGTATTCCACTAATCTCTCGGTTGTTGTTGACGACTTCCAACTGAGATGCCCACTCCTGTACCTTCTTGATTTCACAGCTGTTCAAATAGTGGGGCCGACCTCGAAGATGGTCTTTGATCCGTTGACGGGTAACCATTGTTGCACACAAACGACAACCAAGAAGTTTGTATTCTTTCTCATATGTGAAGTAAGGGTTATCACACATGAGCCGACCATTGTGGGGTGCGTTTTGGGAACTCGCAGAAATAACACTTGCCCCGCGGTTCCCCTCTCTACTTTTTGGACTTGACCCATTCGCTTGCCTTACGTCCTTCAATGCCTCTACCGTACCTGACTCTTTCCTTCTTTTAATCGATACAGAGCGATACTCTGGCGCCTCGTCAATTTGCAACAAACATGAAAAACCTCTTTTCAGTGTAGTAATACTTGACGGTGGGTTAGAAGGCGCACTATTTCGTTCGCGTAGTGAAGGCATCACTCTGCTAGGCTGATGAATAAATTCATGCCAACGAGTTGATGCCCACTCATAAGAGCGAAGAAGTGCTGGCTGAAGCCGATGCGGAAATGCCCCATCAAGTCCATAAGTAATTCCTCGCTGCAAGGGACGATGTCCGCTTTGCCAGGCAAGTGCGGTATTCATGTCAGCATCTGCGGTGGTGTCGTCATAAATATTGAACGGTGAATGCACCTCCCTGACGTGCTTCTCCGTGATGCTGATGGCTATCTGTCGGAAAAGTCGAATATTGAACTCGCGTTGCCATATCTCTGAAGTAGCCTGTTTGAGTATTGACGTAAGACGGGCAGTGCACCACGGCTTTCCGCTACTATTGAATAATAGCCGTTCGTGACGGTATGGAAATGACTGAGTCTGTTGCTCCCGTCTCAAGAGGGCAGCGAAACGCCGAACACAGACGAGATAGTTATACATAACATACGCCAACCGTGATGGCAGAAACCGGACCACATAAAACTCTCGGCCCGTTTGCCGTTTAGCTTTGTGATGGCGTAGTATATAGGCCATCAACCCATTCCAAATTGAGATACTGCAGTTAGTGGAAGGGCCACTCTCGCATGCTAGTGTAAAGAGGTCACGCGCTCGAGGAGTTTGACCACACGCTGTGTAGAGGCCCCCAGCAAGCATCTCCTCCAGCTTTGTAACTTGCTTGAGATATAAGTCCATGGATTTCCATCTCCAACGCCCGCCCTTGCTGAGCTTACTCTCCCGAGAAGCATATGCTGAGTAAAGCAGGTCTAAGTACGCTTTATCAAGATCATTCGCAGGATGTTTCACAAACGAATATCCGCTTGACGTATTGACCATGTCGTCCTTTATCGCTGCTAGATCAATGTCAGGCTTGATGTCAAACATCAACTTGTCACAAATCTCTTCTGCTTTTGAGATGAAATAATCGGGGATTTGTCGGAATTTGTCCATGGTCAGTTGGAAGTCACCATAGCGTATTATTTCTCCATCATCACTCCAGTTGAACAAGATGGATGGTGGCTCGGTACGGGCGACATTGCGACCAAAGTCTCTGAGACTAGTCATTTCAGCAAGTGGGTATTGTGTGCCTGCTATCATGTACTTTTGTCGAATTGAATTCAACTGATCCAGCTGGTTCGCATATGAACGCTGTGGAATCCCAATAACGCGATACTCTCGTAACGGCAAGGCGCGTTCCATCAGTATCAGACGTTGAATATAAATGAGACCCGATAGATATGGACAGAACTGCCTCGCGAGTAAGAAATGTTTGCAATCTTGGGAGAAACCAAGTATTCCGCTGAAGAACACAAGTAGTGTAGAGCTCGGTCGACCTTCGATGGAACGCTCAGTGCTAATGGTGAGACATAACTGGTATAAAAGTTCAAGAAACTCAATGAGTGTGACCATTTCAGACTCATCCCGTATCATTGGATAATTACCATGGTGGCCCCCATCGGCTTCGACTTGGTTGTCTGTAAACTCTGAGCTTTCACGGTCGAGCTCGTCGTAACTGAACACTGAATCGGTATCTTCGTCTTCTTCATCACTATAAGATTCTTCCTCGTCTTGCTCACTGTCAACATCTTCAGATTGCGATGCATTGGCTGGAATAATTTCCTCCTGCAGCAGGTGATACTCGAGGTGAACTGAAACCTCGTCCACGACTTCGTCGATCTTTTTACCTCTCGGTACCATGGGCCATGATCCGCTGGACCAGTCAAACAATTGCCAGACTTTATGCTCCCATATGACTTGAAGCTGGGAGGACAGACATTCGCTCAACTGAAATTTCACACACTCTCTCCTGACTCTGGCTGTCATCAGATGCGTTCGAAAAGCAAAAGCCAACAGCCGTTTCTGGACATTCCGGTACTTTTTTTCGGTACTCTTTTCCGCCACCAGACTAAAAGGTCTTTCGTAAAAATGCTGGTGTTTCGTGCTGTTCAGCCAGCATAGAAGAAAACGGCTTGTTCGACTGATCGTGTCTTCGCATCGGTCCACTACGATGTCTAAAGCCTCCAAGATGCAAGAAATCTTCTGCTCAGCTTCGCTCGAGCTTATGATATCTGGATCAGATTCTTGATTTCCCTGCCCTAAGAAGCAGTCAATTGCCAAGGCGCGCTGGTCAGGTAGTCGAGTCGATGATCGCAAGATATCGCGTCTTGCGCCTTTGTATATATCTTGCCATCGTGTTCTCTCCATCCAGATGCTTGTAGTCGCAAAAGAGCCATTGTCCATATCTTGACTACTCAAACGTGGCTGGTTCACTGTTTCCCAATATGTCTGTTCACGGTCTATCACTTCACTCAGATGAGAGCATGAGGCCTGGTCGAGTTCTCGTGGTTCCACTCGCGACTGGAACGAGTTTGTATGTATTCTCTTGCGTACATCGGTTTGTGGCCGTGCCTGGACATTTACTTGGAACCATCTGCTGCCGGCCCTGCTAGGAAAGAATCGCTGACACGCGACATGTTCCTCCCACGGTGGCTCATTGGCAGATGCGTGGCAATTCGGTACTGGTCTTCCCCTGCCTCTTGGGTTTATCCATTGATGTTTTTCAGCGCAATGCTTTTGCATCTTTTGGATGCGACGCACAATATGTCCACAAGCACGACATTTCAAACCGTCTGGTTCTGGTGGCGCAAGATGCGGAATGGGTCCAATCGTACTCGTTGGGTACTGCAAATCATGTAATTCGTTCCGATTACGGATAATATTCGGAATCTCGTTTATCTTCTCTAATCAGTCCCTGCCGATGCTCTGGTTGTATATCGCGATGTCGTGTCTTCAAATGCGTAGCAACTTCATCGACTACGGAGGCGAACCCACAAATCTGGCACACCAGAAGGCGGTATGTAGAGAGAAGAACGTAGGGATAAGTTGCACTGCGTGGTTCAGGCTGCAAGTTTGCAGCCGTCATAGTGGTGGTCATAGTGACCTGGTTACCGATAGCAAGACCTGAATAATGATTGAGATTCGATGCTAGACCTCCATACACTTGACGCGACATGACGCGTCGTGTTCTGGGCAAACCCCTGTTCATTCAAATCAACTCTACACCCTGGCAAAAATCAACCCTACTAGGTTTAAAGTGGGTCAATTAAATCAACTCTACTAGAGTTGATTTAGTCATTAGTTACTAGGGATGGTGTCGCCTTTCATGGCTCTTGATTCGCTCTCTGTCTTGACGACTCGTCTTTTCATTTTAACCAAGTCCAACAAAATGACCAACCCTAGCCCGATGTTCTTCTCTGATGTCCAGTTTTCGAAATTCAATTCTACCCCCTGTGAAGTGGGGTAAACTAAATCAATTGTACAACAATTGATTTTGGACTGTAGGACTAGGTCTAACAGACCTCGTCGCCAAATAAAAGTGAGAAAACTGGAGAAGCCCCTGCGGATGCGGGCATCAGGGCATGAATATACCTAAAAGCGTCCCATTTCTATGCCTTCTGTTTAAAGTACTTGTTCGCCCTACCAAGAAGCCGGTATTCCTGGGGACATGTAGCGTAAAGTAGTCCATTGAGACTAACTTTAACAAAGCAAAGTTCAAGTTAGCTATTCAAGCTCTGCTGGCGACTATCGGGGATCAATATCTTGCCTACCCCATTGTTCTACCTCGGCAATTTAAGCTGAGCATGACGAGACTGATGGCCTGCAGCCACCACTGCACGATATGTCAAAACATATCTCATTGATTATGGCGGCACCACCCAGGCTCTTCACCATATCGCCCGATAACCATTAAAGAAGAGCATCGAAGCAAATATGCCAATAAGGCCAATAGGGTCCCTTTATGTACATTATCGAAGAGTAAGCCATTCGGCCACATTTCGAAACTGTTAAGTCATAGCTACTCCCAAACGGGCATGCCACATCCAATTAGTCAGTAGCTATTCCCTTCCCTACACTTGCCGCCGGGATATCGTAAAATAATAGTGGTCCGGCCACTCCGTCCATTACTTTGCATGATGGTCGACCCACCGTTCTTATCCACTCTTCTAATTCAAAAAATCTATGGACCAAAGTATCTTAATAACCTACTCTTAACCTCTCCCAAATGACACTTCCGAAACCGTATAGCGCCCTCTTCTTTTAGCCGGTCTTGGCTAAAGGTAATAAGTCAATAAACTCAACAGTGGTGAGGCGACGCAAACACGACGCGTTTCACGTTTTAGGTTTTGTGATTTCATTAGCGCTGTACGAGAAACGCAGTGCATTTCCATCAGGGGAAACATGGGGCGGAAATGCTGGACGGTGATTGGTCAAAAACAGGAAACGCAATGCGTTTCTGCTGATAATTCTTGAGTAGGGTCTCTGGGTCTCACATGTTCTCGGGTCTGACGCTGTGCAGCTTGATAATCCCCTGTATATGCATACTGGCTAAATCGAACAAACGTATCTGAATCAACATCAAGCAAGGTTGCACAACGTTCAATGGCTTCCTTCATGTTTCCGTTGACAAGCTTCTCAAGGGGCTCGGATTGGCAGGCAACGATAGAACTGTGAACAAAGAACTCTCTTTTCTCCTGTCCAACAATGAACTTGAAAGGTTCCGACTGGATAACACTATCTCGAGTGTTAGAAGTTCTACAAGGGATGTAGCAATGACTGGAAAATACCTTTCATAAGACAATGAGGCCATGTCTGTTGAATATTATGTTGATTTTGGGAATTAAGATTGGTCGTAGGCCACTCGCGACTGGAGCTGCGGATGTATTATAGTATTACCAAGAGGTGGATCAAAGCTAATAGTCACCTTGGGTTTGGCAACCACGCTAATGTAGATATAAGTGGGTGTGACTATCAACAACTTTCAGAGCACAAGCACTGTGAAGCTATATGTACGGAGAGAAGACGGTGGGAACCACGAAAGCTTAACTCTTGCAATCCTCCGTGATAAGACTATGTCGGACGTGAAAGCTCGGTTTCTAAGTGGCTTACAAAGACATCATCCCTAGCTAGGACCAAAGTTAAAGCCATACCAGGGTGCCTAGGCAAATCAGAAAGACATCTAACTTGACCGATGTTGACAGTGACATTTTGTGCAAGAAACTATGAATGATGGCTCCACCTTCTTGCCATGTTTTTCCACATAGCAGTCAAATGAAATTTAATTGAACAGTTCGTAAACAGGGACTGCATTTTTGATTTGATAGACCCGACTAGACTCTGAGTGGCGTAGTATTCGGCGATCGCATCCAAGAGGAAGTGGAGAAGTAGTCTTGTGACCGAATATTCTTCTTCAATCTGTGCAACAGCTGTTGGGGGGAGCATTCCGTTATATGGATAGAGGGAACTTGACCTTGCTCGCATTGGGTGTCATCCTGATAATCTTCTGTGCATAAGAAACCATAATGCGCCAAACGGTAGCAATATCAGGTGACCTTAGATATGCCTCCCTATTGCAGTATCCTAGTGAGTTTCTTGTAGTGACCTGGTCGTGTTGTTCACTTGACCAACCTAAAAGTCTTCCTGCAGTGCTCTACCAATCACTGAGAATCTGGGGCATGCGATGGCCTGGTGCAACTTGAAGCTCTCTCCTTCACAAGCAAGAATAGAATCGCTGTAGTTTCCGGACTCTACCTGGGATGCAGACCATCTCACTCATGGACGCTAAAGGGATTGGTGGAGCAATAATTAAACATCGATGACGATATCTTTACCCCGCCTTCGGCCTGTAGCCATTTATCAGCCCTTCTGACCGAACAGCACAGAATCTCTATAACACCATTCACTTCAAACGTCGGAATTGGCCACAGCGGTAGTTTCAAAGCTATTCTATCAAGGTAACGACAGAAAAAGATGAAGTTTTCTTCCACCATTGCCACTACTACTACTCTCCTGACTACGGTCTTTGCGGGGCCCCTCGCGTACGGAGCCTGCCAAGCTGGTTGCGCTGGTATCGTCATGGCATGCTACAGCGCAGCTGGGTTTACTTGGGGAGCTACTATGGGTGCTACAGCTCCAGCATCGATTGTTGCCTGCAATGCTGCTTTTGGGAAGTGTTCTGCTGCATGCGCTGCTGTGGCGCTGGGTGCCCCTACACCTTGAACTGATTTAAAATGGAACATCGTGGTAAGTAAGCCTTAGCTGATAGACTGCCTGAATCATTTTCAATAACCTCCTACTAACGTCAATAGACATTACCTTACCTCTAATACTTGGCTCTTTTTGCCAGAAACCTAGTTCGTATGAGAAGGTGTATTTGTTTAGTTTGGAACATGATAAGCACGTAGTGACTTCGACAAGATTTTTGACCAATCTTAGAGTCCTTATTTGTTTATCTCTATATTTGTAGCTATACCACTCTCTAGCTTATGTGTGTGATTCTAGGTCTTGAATAGAGGTAAACATATGCAGTCGCTACTGGGTATGCTGGATGCATTTATTCGTTTAACCATTTAAATCGGAATAGGGCTGCTTAGGTGCCACATCATGACTCACTCCCTCCACCTTTAGGTGGCCTCATTGTTCCCGCCAATAAAGAAATGTAATATGGATACGCAAGATGCCATTGGATTATCTCACAAGAAAAGAAAAGCGGGGTTGGAAAACTGTTGGTCGGCCTCCTGCAGGTAGGCATTACATCGTCCAGCATTAATCGAAACCGATGGCCCGCCTCCTCACGATACAACACTCAAAACTGCCTAAAAAGTCAAGAAAGAAAAGATGGCTCATAAAAAGTCAAGTTTCGAGCATGTTCTCATTCAAAGAAGTCTCCAGAACAAAACGGCCAGCAAGAAGACATCGAACTACATACTGGATTCGAACGGGGATACTCAACTCATTCTCAGTACCTACAAAGATCAGCCTTTCATCTGGAAGGCGGAGACGATCTGGATAGGTCAAGAAAGATCTACAACGAAAGGCTTTAAAAAAAACAAGAAGAAGAAGATCAAAAAGAAAGCTGCCTGCCATCCACCACCCGTGCCACCACCACCGCCGCCGCCACCGGAATCCCCTGTTTCAACACCAACATCGCTTACACAGCCTATTGTTTCCTTCTCTAACGTACCTTATTATACTCGCCCAGAATTCTCGGACGAAGAAACAACGAGACCTGATTCTGCTGACTCTAAAGAGAATGCTGACAGTTCAAGTTTGCCGGTGCAGGATTGGGATTATGGAGAAAGATCTGGGATCCTGCCTAATCAGGTAGAGATTCGAATGCTAGTCTCGAGAAAGCACCTGGAGCTAGCTTCGTCCTACTTTGAGAAGATGTTTTCAGGTCCTTTTACGGAGGGAAAGGCCAATCACTCAGGACTTCGCCGAGTAACAGCGACCGACTGGGATCCTGAAGCTTTCAACATTGTACTAACGATCATACACGGGTACCATCGTGATGTACCAAGGTCACTCGATCTCGAGATTCTTGCAAAGCTGGCCATAATCGTGGACTACTACGAGTGCCATGAAAGCACGGAGCTACACGCCGATATTTGGCTAGAAAGGTTAAAGCCGGAAGTACCAACGGTGTATGGACGAGACTGTATTCTCTATATGCTCGTGTCCTGGGTTTTCTCACAGCCTGATGTGTTTGCGAAAATGACTCGGCTTGCAGTAAGGCATAGTGAGAGATTGATTGAAGCTGAAGATTTACCTATTCCCTTAGATCTTCTTGGTATGTTCAACTAAGAGCCACAATATTACAGCGTTTGCTGATCCTGGATGCAGAGCAGATTGACATGGCACGTCAGGACTATCTCGATAAAATATTCTCAGCGGCCTACGATCTTTTTGATCGTTTGCAGGAAGAGCCAGAGTGTTCCTATGAGTGCTCATCTATGCTCTTGGGTATTTTAACAAAGGAGCTAAAAAAACACGGGATTCTGAGCCCGCGAAGCGCGCAGCCATTTTATGGATTTAGCATTGGAGGTTCGGTGGACATGATTAATGGTTGCAAGGTGCCTCATTGGTATGACATCAGTGGCAGTGGGAGGTATGGCTCTGGACATTCCTGCACCATACAGCAGAAGTTGTCTTTAGCTCTTCAGAATGCGGAAAAAGAGCTACGCGTCTTCGATCTTCAGGATTTCCAGTTCGCAAAAAGCCACATGCGCCCCCCAAAGAATGTGGGGACGTTTGAATTTGAGTGCAAGCGAAGTGCAACATAGCTTCGTTGATATCGATGAAGCGCAATATAACTTCGTTGGTATGGTATAGTGATAGAAAACAATCTAAATTGTGTATTCGTGTCTTCTCACTGACTACATGCCTTGTTGTCCATTTGGTTGTCAGTGGTTTGAAACTTTTTATCGACATCTTGGTCGCTGCATTTCCGCTTCTTGTTGTTACGGCATCCCTCATCTGCGCCTAATGGGCCCGGCGCGAAAGTGATTGTGAAAGGACAACCTGCGTGCGTCTTCCCCTGGACGGACCGCGATTGCTTCTGACTGCTCATTGTCGCGTTTTGATGCGGTCAGGTTCCGCCCGCGACCGGAGTAGGGACAAAGAGAGAGTTTTGAGGGCAAACGAGTCGCACATGAAATGACAATAAGTAAAAAGAAGGAAAAGGACAGATAATGAAAGGATGCAGAGACGATTGTTTGTGGCTACACACAGTAAATTTGTGGTGTCGTGTTGTGAGCTGCTGCCGGGCCCAATTATATTTGAGTAACATGCTGCTGGCCCAATAGTAACGTTATCGTCTGCGACCGCATCCTTACGTCATTAGACAAAAGCATTCAATTGGCTGAACAAGCCCCATGAGTGGAGTTTTCACAAGCTAGTTCGGGAGTTGCAACAGAGTAGTTTAGCCCAAACTACCACTGGCCTCTCGGCTAGAACCAGGCTCTAAACTAAACCCCTCCAAACTCAACCCTGCTAGCGATTCGCCCAGTCCTTCCATATCCAAATGAAGAGTCTTCTCCAGCTTGCAAGGGTCCAGATTCTGCTTTTTGCTGTACCAGGGAGGTGTCTTGATGCCACGGATGAAGTCAGCCACTGAAGTAACATTGAATCCTAAGAATGGTTGTTCTGGTTTCATCATCGGCAGACCCTGGTCTCGCATCTGTTTCATAAGGTATCCAAGAAGTCTGCAGGAACATTCCAGGGAACAACCAATTTGTCCCACGAAAAGGTTCTCTTGCAGAGTATACAGCCGAGAGAAGAGTTCATGGAGTAGTCCGATACGCTGTTGATCAATCTGATCTGGTCGGCATTAGCCGCTCTGCCTATATCATGTGTTGATTAGGAGTACATACCGAAAATTTGATTAGGTATTGGTAGATTTGTTTCAACGAGGCCAGAGGTTGTGCCTATTGCAGAAATTGTGAGATTCCTGAAGACAACTGGACTTCGAAACGTCCAAGCAATGAATAGTAGAATTGACTCCGCTTCACCAAAAGACTTCATTGAGCCTTTGTCGAAGGATAACCAGCTGTATTTCCACCAATCGTGGAGATGCGCGTGCCAGTGATCAAAGAAAACCTGAACAATCTCAAGGCAGTCATAGTAATCGACGAGAAGCCCGATCTGTGCTACAGTATCTAGATCTAGATTTCTAGGTACCTGGCTGTGGTGACCGTGTATGATGTCAAGTAATATCAGGAAAGCCCGAGTGTTCCAGTCTGAGGCTCTAATTTCCAAGAGGCCTACATCGTTGGGTTGCGATTCTTGAAAGTTGCCCTTTATCATCCTGTTAAACACTGGCGATGCAATACAGAGATGCTTAGTGGATACTCGAAATTGAATCTCGTTGGGATTGCCATTTTCCTGATATGGCTGTAGAGATGTGATGGCATCGAGATTTGTTGGTGTTTTGATTTTCTTCTTCCCTTTAGTTCGGGATGAAGTGCCTGTTTTCGACTCGGGTATTTCTTTCTCGTGCATCACATCATCTTCTTTTACTGCATGAACCCGTTGCAAGTTAGGGCATTGCAAGATGAGTAGGGCATCGGCTCCTGGGTCCAGCTCAAGAAGTGATTGCTTCATCGTAAAGGCCTGGAAGACGGCTTTGAAATGCGTAGGGTAGTAATCGACTCGTTTGTCAAACCCGTCAACACTACAAATATCGGTCAAGTAGAACACAGTGAGAATCTAAAATTGGGCAATGGACTTCAGAGTCTCGCTTGGGCCCTTGTCTGCTGGGTTTGGATTGGTCGGCCTCCCACATGCGGCGAGGCCTCCTTCGCGCATCCGGTCATAACCAGACAATTAGTCATTTTAACTGTGAGACAGACATGCTTTACTTCTGGGCTGCGAATTGGGTGGTCCACGTGGTCGAGTGTTATTGGCCGGATGTTACTGGGAGCACCCATCAATAGACCATTTTTAGTATTGTATCCACACATTAGCTGTGATCTCGTGCAGGTCTCATTCCTAGCTTCTTCAGGTCTTACTTTTCTTGCGTCATTTGGCTTATTGGCTTTAAATCTAGCAGCCAGCCTGAGCAAAATTGCGCAAAGGTGTAACAATTGCACAAGCACTTGAGCTGCAGGGCAAAATATTGGGCTACAGTCGCTATGAAAGCAAATACAGGTGTGCTACAGCTGCCTTGTAGAGCCTTGTACCGCTGTTACGGGCACCAATCGCAATAAGGGTTAATGTTCCATGCCAGACAACGCGTGCGACGCGTGCGACTGCCTTTTCCGTTGAACAAAATTCTCAAACTTTCAATCGTCATTTGTTACCATTTTCTTCAAACGAAAGAACCAACACGATGAGTCATTACGTTCCCTCGATGCTGAAGTCTTTTTGCACAGTATGACGTTGCATTGGGAGAAAATGCTGTACTTGGTCTGACCTCTCTTCGATGACGTTGCTTGTATTTCAAAAGGGCTGGTCCCTTGGCCACAAAGTTCAACACAGCATTTTTCATTGACGCGGTGGCTTCTGTTCACCGTCTAAACATGGGATATCGGAGGACCGCGACTTTGCGACCGCTCATCAATGACAGGACTGCAGAGATATTTCATAATCACCATATAACTTATATCAGTCCTACGGATTGCAGGAAATATTCAACCAAATGGCGCTCCAGTCTCATGCCTTCCTGTCTTCATTGGCAGAATCCGGAAAGTACAGCGATTTTACATTGGTTTGCAATGAGCATCAATTCAAGCTCCATCAAGTGATCGTTTGCCCACAATCATCGGTAATAACGGCGGCTCTATCCGGCGGCTTTCTGGTACAATGCTGCAATTTCCGTCGCTGGCGACCATTTCTCACTCGTTTGTTAGGAAACCACATCGAGAATTCTCGCTGTAAACGAGTTCGATATTGATACAGTTCAATATATGATATCGTTACTCTACAGAGGAGAGTACCAAATCTGCTCTGAGAGGCAACATGGATCCAGTTCTGACGACGGACACGACCAAGGAAACACAGACTACCTATCACAGTGTTCTCCCGCTCCTTCAGAACTGGCTGAAAATGAAACTGTCGAGGATCTGCTCGCCCATCTACGCGTCAATGCAATTGCTGACTACTACAATATCCAAAGCCTGACCCAATATGCAAACTCAAAGATTAGGGTCATCCTGCAAGAAGGTCAAGACGCTAAGGTGTTCCCCCAGGTTATCCAAGAACTGTCAGCTTCGGACAGAGACCCTGATATCCACTCAATTATCGCTTCAGCCGCGGTGGCACGTATAGAGGAACTCTGCGAGCTGAAAGCTTTTCAGGACCTGAAGCTCGAACACAACCTTTCTGCTGAAATCTTTCGTGCTTGTAGCGACAGAATACAGACACTTCAACGTCGGCTAGACGCGGCTCAACAGAATGTTGTAATATACCAGGAACTCCGAGATGACGAAAGACGAGGAAAGGAGTCTCTCATCAAGCAAATGGACAAATCTGTGGACTTGCTAAAACAAACGTACGGATGTCGCCATTGTGCCAACGGGTTTGGCTGTTACTTTGAGAAAGTGGGTCTGGAGGGGCATCCTTCTTATGTCATACGCTGTAAAGAATGTCGCTGCCGGCATAAATAAATCATCTTTGAACAGATGCCAGCACTAAGGAATTGTGTAGTAAACACAGATATCTTCATCATTTTTCTGAGCATTAGCGTCGTTGTTCGAGTTCCTACGGTACCTGTCTCAAGCACAACATGTTGAGACTCACATAGTATTTTCTCATCCTGACCTGAGCCTGCAATCGAGGATACCTTTATTTGGCTTACATCCAGCCGTTCTCATTCATAAATCTGGATGTCTTAAGCGGCTACGCTTCTGAAAAGGGTTATACGAGATAAGAAATCTTGATTGTGATCTTGAGAGCCCAAGGCCAATTCTCTTGAGTGGCACGCAAAACGAGATGTTGAAAGCCCCAGGTACATCGGCAATCACGTCATTATGACGGAAATAGTAGTATGCACACTTAGGACGTGGCTAAGTCACTGAAACTTTGGGAACAAATAAGCGACCTTTGCTATGGAAGAAGGTATTGGACGCATATATGTTTATTAATCAACATTCGATCTGGTGGGCCTCCAGGAAGACTGGGTGACGCGTTTAAACAAGACCAGATAATTTACAGTTTAAGCTACATTTCTACCATGTGCAATGTTTCTGAAGACCAAAGCCCCATACATAAATGTCATCCGTCACTCTCCAGGGCTCCCATAATCAACCTTACATCTCGGGTCAGTCGACTCATACTGGAATCTGAGTATCGCGTACAAGAGAATTGTTGATTACGACAGCCTGCATAGGCAAAACCTCCTATATCATGAGAAGGTGTGCACTGTGTATGAGAACACGACAACAGAGCCTTCAATACTGACTATATTCAAAAGGGGGCCTGTATTGACATGCTATGAGCATGACAAAGAAATTACCGACATGATGCAAGCGATTGAACATCTGCGGGCAAAACATGTTGATTTTATCAAACGTCCTGGGCGCCTCGGACAAATGGATGCACATGGGCATTACTGGTATTGCTTTGAATGTGAGACCAAGCTGAAAGATCATCGCAGTTTTGATTCCGATCAAGCAATGTGGGGTCATCTGAAGAGCAAACACCGCCATACGATGGATTATGATCTTGGTTTGTCGTTGTCTTGAGTCTTCTTCTATAGCTGTTCTAGCAAATGGGTTGTCGCAAATGGTTTAGATGTTCTAACTGTTAATTCCCACTAAAGAGAATGTTCCACTTTAGATCAGTTCAAGACGTAGGCGCAACTAGCGCTACAGTAGTGCATGCCGCAGAGCACTTCCTAAAAGCAGCATTGCAGGCGAGAGGACCTGCGGAGACCCCAGCAGTAGTGATGGTGTTAGTGAAAGTAAACTTCATCTTTTTATATGGTTAGCTTGATCGAGTTGCTTTGAAGTTGCCGCTGTGACTCATCCAGACATTTGAATAGAGTGATGCTATAGAGATTCTGTGTCTTTCGGTCAGAAGGGCCGAATAAATGGTCGCGGGTCAGAAGCGGGGTAAGGATGTTGAGACATGGATGCTGTTGCACTGATTCTTTCAATGTCCATGAGCAAGATGGTCGGCCTCCCGCTGCCTCCCTTTCACTTGAGGGGACAGACTTCCCAGTTAGCTCAAAACTGTATTTTAGTGTTCGTATTTCATATATCCTATTCTGTCTCGCCAATCATGTCTTGAGTTTCTCGCTCGGCTTCGTCTTTCCACCGCTCATGCTAAATCAGATGGATGTCGCTTGTATAAGTGACTTTTTTAGTGACTTAACTTCGGTTCTCATTTCAATAACAATCACGGTTCCATTGAGCCGGTGGCTGTCAGTGCTCACAAAGCAAGTGCTGAGCAGCGTGCGGCGAATAGTATTCGACTTTCGTCAAAGTTGTTTCACATCATGATCGAAAGATCAGCACTTTTTCTTACGCTAGATAATGATTGGCCATTACCTGTAGTCCTACTGTTTTGTTTCCTTCGTTCTTCCACAATACTCAAGCCACGTAGCAGCACCATCCTACTTACGTGGCCAATGACCATCTCAACAAGTATAGGGACTTTTGTCGCAGAAGGTTAGTGGCAGGCCCCCTCGAGTATCCTAATGCTTTCATATTATCCACTGAAACTCTAGACACACATGTATCTTCGTGACCCCAGGTCGCTTTGCTTCTAGAGTAGAGCACGTCAGGAGGCTTCCCACTGTTCCGGCTGTCACCAATCGTATCAGTGTTGATAACACTACTAACGCAGGAGGCCCAGCAGTACTCCTGAAGGCTCAGAGTCGGTGTGGCTTTTATGGAACAGATCCAATGATGGCTAAGCCAATAACTCGAAAGTTTATGGTCTCGCGTTCATGTGTTTATCATCCAGGTTGATATAAACTTTAGCTCACCAGAATTGCAAACATTTCTGTCCAAAGAAAAAAAAAAAGAACATCTTGTACATTTATTTCCATCAACTGCCTCCTTTTGAGATCTTTTGAAATCTTCTGTGAAGTTCTTTCGGTTCCCTCAACATACTTTACGTGAAAACGATTCCCGGAATCACGTCAGCAGCCTATCAGAGCTACTGCTACGATGGCTAACACATCTCCTTCTGATGATCAATTTGCCTATATTTTCCGCCATGTCTTTTTACCAGCAAAGCTACCTGGCCACGATGATACCTCCGGGGCAAGTGAGTCATTTCTTATTGGACTTGTCCTGCAAAGTCTTGAGCAATTCTTCATGAAAGTGGAGTCTGTCGAAAAGACCACCATTGCTGCTTGCATCTCCATGATAAAGAACATGATAGTCGCAAGAGACATGGATGGATACTTAGGACACGTTGGACTACGCGAGTCTTTACGTATGGTCTCAGCTGATGGTAAGACGCCGCTTACAGTCCGTTTTGATTGACTGCTAACCATAATAATGCCAGATCCCTTCTCTCTATTTCATATTAACGCTCAGAATGCGGGACTACTTATTCGTAGAACGGATGATTCATTTTGTTTCGAGACATTCGAGCTATCCCCGTCCAACGAGTCAATCATGTCCACTAAAGGTCGTTTGGTACGCCAATTCCCGGCATCTGCTACCAAAATGTCCGCTGCCGTCTTTGGGAATTCCGAGTTCCAAGAGGTTTTGGCCAACACTCTCGTTAAAATGGCCAAGCAAACAGTGGCGGAGGTGCAGCAAAAAACGAGAAAGGCGAAGCAAGAGCAGGCTGAAGATAGAGATACGGCAGATCCACGTATCGTGACCGAGCTCTTGACAAGCATAATTCGAGGTGTCGGCAAGTCCATCACTGTCGAGGGAGTCTGCAAAAACACCCGCGAGGAAGTGATGTGGAGTAGAAGCAAACTACCATGGAGGAGATCTCCAGTCTGGCTTCTCGTTCGCGTTGGACTACATCTTACCATGAATCGCCTTGCGGATGGTTCGGACGACGTGTACAAGAAATTCATGATATTCTTCATGGCTCAAGTGCTGCATATCGCCAACAGCAAAGTAGCACAAAGTGAGGTGCTTCACATAATGATGATCAAACTCTCAAGACGAATTTGTAAGCTTCACAATCCTCAAGATGGACCGTGGCTTAAAGAAGTCAACTCTGTTGTTTCGACTGCTTCGGTCTGCTTACACCAACGTTGGGCAGACATCCGTAAGTGTTTGCAGAAACCCTTGGACCTAGAGAAGCTTTCCAAAATCAAGATGGAAGATAACTTGCGCTTTTCGGTTCCTGAAGTGGATAGATTCGTCGCCACAATTATCGACCTCAAAAGAACCCCCCAGAACGCAATCTTTGAACCGTCGTCGAACGTTTTCACTCTGAAGACGGAAAAACTCCCTTTAGTTACTACCAATTTCCACAAGGATTATACTTCCTTCGCCCTGGCCATGTTTGAGACCTGGATCAGAGACCATCTGAGTCAATGGATGAAAGCTCATATCGAGCAAGAATCCTGCTGCGAAGAATTGCAACAGGCGTTGTACAGTTATCACAATACTGCTTCAGGGTGGTACTCTAGTCGTCCAGAGGGTGCATCACGAATGCTTTTGACCATTGGAGAACTTTGGGTCGCAATTGACAATGCTGCGACACACAGATACCCTATGCTACTAGAGTATCAGACAGAGGTACCAACTGACGTTTGGCAAGCACTCTTGATCCATTCTAAAGACAACATGACCCGGCTCCATCGTCTGGAAAGTCACCTCTTAGAAAGGAAACGAACTGCCGCTTTATATGGACGACCATCCATCTTTCGTTCTTACGGGGAGACGTCTTCATTTTCTGTAAAGTACTTCGCTGGGTCTTCCAAGCTCCAGGCGAAGAAAATACAGATAGAGCAAAGTGCTTCACAACGTCGGCAAGCCAAGATACAGGAGTTTCGTCGTCTTGAAAGAGAATATGATGATATGATGACGAGGTCGGACAGAATGGCATGCAATTCTGTGTCTGTCCATTCGTTCGATCTAGAGTATGATGAACACATATCATCAAGATGTAATCGTTGTTGCCTTCAACAGAAAGCAAAGGGCCTTCGGATCTCGGTACATGAGTGGCCCTTGCCGGACGGCGTCCTCGAAGCACAATCGACTGTGTTTGAGCTGGAGATTCCTCGTCCTTTCTCTATATGGCGTGACGTCACCTTTTTCCTCATCGAAGATGTCCTAGCGTTCAGGTCTGTGGAGAATCGTCCTGAATTCTCATATCCATTGTCATCATATCAAGGACTTGCTCCTTGGTTTGTTCCGGGGGGAAATCGGGTCCAACTCTTGTCTGGGGCAAAGCCTCAAGTTGTGACACACTGGAAGCAAAAGTCCATCGAGCGCAGCACGGAGGCCGATGTTTGTCTCAACAATGGCCTTATTTATCAATATTATGACAGGGATAGGGAAATCTTCATTTCCAGCCACAGACCATCTTTCAAAGTTTCAGACCAATGCACTTTCCAGTTGCCTGATCGGGCAAAAGTATTGAAGCGATTTCTCACCCGAACATGGGCTCAACCTAATGGGCAGACTCCTAATGAGGTTATCGCCAGTCAATCAGACTGCCCCGACTATATGTCATTGAGTGAGTTTAAGGCCTTGGCTACGCTGCCCTTTGGACACCGCATACAGTGGATGAGTATCCTCGTTCAACTAGCCATGCCGACGATTGATCTTAACCGACCCGAGACAACTATTTTCTTGCTTCAGATGAGTATGCAAGTCGGCCCCTACGGTGCTGTCGAAGTTGAACGGCCTACGCATCGAGAGCTTTTTGAGATGGAATTCGGTCATAAAATGTTGATCAGTCTCACACAATTCGTTTCAAGAGTGAAAGAAAGCTGGGAGTCCCATACATCCTTGTGTTCGCTTATGATACTCACAACGCGGCTACTAACCATGGCCGATCCTACTTTGTCGAATCCGATCCAGGAGCTGCTTTCCAACTGCCGCAAGATATCCTATGACTGGCTTATCTGTCTTATTGAGAAAGTGCAGGAAACAAAGGACGATGTTCGAAGAGCTGAGTTCCTGAGTATCGTTGTCACCGTCGCCTTGGTCTGCGCTGAATCTTTCAACACAGACGACGAGATGTTATCCCATATCCTAGCGGACTCAAGGCAGGCAGCGATACTTGTGGAGATTTCAATCATCATTTACAACAACTCTAGCTTGGCAAGCAACAGAGTTGATCATCTCCAAAACATCATGTTTGATAGGTTTCTGCATACTATGCATCGCGCTTGTCCAATCTTGGTTCGGGAGGCTGTTGTTTGTAACAACGACTGCCTAGATATAGCTATTAAGAGACGATGGCCTGCATTTCACCGATCATCAAAATGGAGACTTTCTCCTTCATCTTTTTATTGGATGAAAACAACTTCTGGTCACTTACAAGTTCATCTCAGCGTGCTCACAGGTGAGCTTCTAGTGGACGGTTGTCCTCTATCACGTCTACCGCGTGAGTATGTACGTCATGAAAACTACCAGAAGCTGTTCGGTTCCATGGTCCTAGATGTCGCACCAAGCGATTTGCCAGGCATGCGCTTCTGTGCCACCAAGATGTTTTGCGGTTTTAAAGTTCACTTCGGTATACAGGGTCTCTCGGGTAATCAGAATCATGGCAATCTCCTGGTCCAGTTGCACAAGGGCAGCTCGGTTCTAGATCTGATTCCTCCAAGACACATGAGAGATCTGCTACCGCACCACTTCGTCGACAATTTTATTCATTGGTATCGCCGTGCGACTGGCACCATCGAGTTTTGTGACATCGAAGACCCTTGGGTCACCAATAAGCCGACAAACTGGTATCTCAGACGCGATGGTGGTGGTTGGAAGCTCGATCAGTGCACCAACGTAATCCTCATGCCTCCTACAAGTCATCTAGCTCAAACTATCGCGACCATCATGTCACCTATCGAAGCGCCTCTGCGTATTCATCATTTGTATGGTGTCGAAGAGAAAGTCCTTAACATTCAAATTCCTGGCCTACAACTCGATTTCTTTTTGAAATCTGGAGAATCAATTATCCAGTCTAAACAATTTCGAAATATGATAATCGATGACGATCAATCTCTGGGGACTCTTATTGGGCTTGCAAGTAAGCTCATTCTCCGAAACATTGAGGATCCATCAATCAGAACAGTGATAATCCCGGAAGGCAAGGTTGAACATCGACCAACAGCACAGGAATGTACGGAGGATCACGTCCGCGTCATAATTGTTCATGGGACTGCTCATCGGGTACAACCATACAAGATCGATAACGCTCTACGACGGCTCGTGGCTGACGATAAGATCGAGACAAAGTTGTTTCTAGCATACATTCATGCCCTTACATCCTTTTTTATTCCAGACCCGTTTATCCACCGGACAGGAGCTGAGGAAGCGTTGAGAATCCTTGCATCTGCCCAAATTCGAGCACCTTGCGTGTTATCTAATGGTGCCCATGAGAGACTCAGCTTGATAAGTAATCTATGCCCAGACCGCACATTCTACCCATCTCACAGGAGAGTAATGCAAACTGTCGAATGGTCTCCCAGTTTGAGCTACATATCTCAAGATGGTCGCTTCCACACACTTACGCAACAAATACTCGCAAAATCTCACGAAGTAAGTTTCCTTTATCCTGGACATGAAGTTCTAGATCTTCCGAGAAACATCTCGACAGATTTGGTCGAGCGAGCTATCAACAGAAATGCTCGTGATCATGTTACAGGCTTTGGTGCTGAAGATTTCACTCCAACGCATGATACTGTCTATCTTGGAAGAGACCGTGGACAGCATTCAGTCCGAGCAGTTCGTGCTTCCGACATGGCTTTTAGGGTCCATCATGGTCACTACGGTCTCCTACAACCAGTTATGCCAGGCCTCACTTTATACCTTTACGAGCTTCTGCAGAAAGCCACCGTAAGCTCGATGCAAGTCGTGGTGCCAAAAACCAGACTCTTCTACGATTCAAGATGGCTTCAAGAACCTGAAGCATTTCTTTCATCTGAGTGGTGCCAACTTCACTGCACTTTCCAGCGCGAACAAGAATGGCTCAACAATTTCGAACTCATGGTTTGGACAGCGACCATGTCGTACTCTGAGAAGTATGACCCACAGATTGTCCAGGCATTGTTGGCACTTGGCAGTTCCCCTTCCGTTACCTCTTCACCTTTGCCTCCCGAAACTACGTTTGACCTAGCAAAGGGATATGGTGTTCAAATTCAGGAACTTGAGCGTCTAGCCGGAATTTGGGTTACTGTTTTTGAACGCTCTCCTGAAGTTTACCTGCCCCCATTGGCGTATGAAAAGCATAAGTCGACCCTGAATAGGCGCAAACAAGTATATTACGACAACAAAACTCAGGCAATTGCAGACTTTAGGCATTATCTCAACTCACAGTGGCCTTGCAAGTCTCCAACAACACCAACTCGGGCCCAGACCAAAATTTGCACTTACATCAACGTCGAGGAAGTTATGAGCTCAGTGAGACCTAAATGGAAGGAATGGTATGAGAACCTGCAGTTCAAGAGATATCTCGATACGTTGGTTTCGCGCCTAAAATTATTACCAATTGCAGCCGTTGCTGCTGTCCGGGCTGCCCCTGGAATACCGCCACGTCATTCAGGAAGACGGGCATCAGGATTCGTTTCCATAACGGATTTGTTCTCGGGACCTGCTCCGCGGTTTGATCGATTACCAGCCTTGGATCGAAGTGGCATGATTCAAATTACAACGAAAAAAGACGAAGATGCAAGCAACAAATTGGTCAAGATCATTGAAACTCTTGATTCCAGTGTAAATTTGAAGTTCGAACATCGCTACCTGAGCGAGTTACGAGACAGCATCTCCAGTTTATACAGGCATGCCGATACCGAGCTCAACGGGAAAGAATCTATAAGGCGTCCAGGAATATTTGAACAATACTTGACGCATTGTGAAAGCCAGGTAATGGATATGTACAAAGTGCTTGTAACGATGACTCTGCAGTCTACCAAGCGTGTTTCGAACGTCGAGGTGCCTAAAACAGTGCAGTCTATACTCGAAAAGTCGGGCTTCGTACCCAGGGTGGCACCAGTCTTGTTCCTTCAGCAACTGAGATCTTCGCAGTGGGTTTCCCTACCCGAAGCGTGGAGGAGTGCTATCGTTAGTTATGGACTTGCCATCACCGCTGTCCAGCAAGCTCGACGGCTCGTACAATTCCAGTCTAGCCCAGCGGATCTTCTCCGCGAACTCAAAAACGTCGGCAACGAGACTTGGGACCCACAAAGTTATCCGGACTGGCTGTTGCTTGAGTGTGAAAGCGGAATTATGATACGAGATACCCAGCAGTACATTGCCCGGCAGATGATCGACCCTCCAGACCGTCAGAATGCCGTCATGCAGCTGAATATGGGTGAAGGCAAGTCCACAGTCATCGTCCCAATTGTCGCTACCGCTTTGGCCGATGGCTCCAAGTTAGTCCGAGTGATTGTGGCAAAACCGCAAGCAAAGCAGATGCATCAAATGCTAGTTTCGAAACTTTCCGGCCTGCTGGACCGCCCTGTCTACTTACTACCCTTCTCTAGAGATATCCGCATGAACGCTTGTCGAGCACAAGTGATTCGTCTGTTGATAGAAGACTGTATCAAGGAGGGCGGTGTTTTGATGGTGCAACCAGAACAGCTCCTGTCATTTCAGCTGATGGAACTGGAATGCCAACTAAGCGAAAGCAAAGAAACTGCTGGGAAGCTTATGGAAACGCGTCTATTCCTAGATCAATCGTCGAGGGACATTGTCGATGAGAGTGACGAGAACTTTAGTGTCAAATTTGAGCTGATCTATACGATTGGCCAACAGCGGCCGATTGAGCATAGCCCTGACCGCTGGCTTATCATTCAAAATGTCTTAGGCCTACTGGCTAATATCGGACGCGACGCCAAAGGCGAGTTTGCACATTCACTCGAGTATGACGATCGTGTGGGAGAGAGGTTTCCAAGGATGAGGTTCCTCGAACCCGAAGCCGAGAAAGAGATTCTCAAACGCGTCGCGAATTCCATTTGTGAAACTGGACTGGTGGGACTTCCTGTCGCACGACAACCCCAAAGGATGAGGACTGCAATCTTTCGTTACATCACTCGATGGGAGCTTGCATCTGAGGACTCCCAGATGGTCGAACAGAGTACATTCTGGGACGAAACTACAAAAGGCCATATCCTACTTCTTAGAGGCCTTTTTGCAGGAGGCATCCTTGCTTTTGCATTTGGCCAAAAACGCTGGAGAGTCAATTACGGCGTTGATCCACACCGAGAGAAAAAGACTAAATTGGCTGTGCCATATCGAGCGAAAGACAACCCAACACCTCGGTCTGAGTTCAGCCACCCTGATGTAGTGATCACACTGACCTGTTTGAGTTACTACTATAGTGGCTTGGGTCACGAGGCTCTCTTCTCGACGTTTAGACTTCTCGTCAGATCTGACAACGCCAAGGCTGAATATCAAGACTGGGTCAAGACAGCCCCGGCACTACCTGACTCTTTCCGAAATCTAGAAGGGGTCAATTTACAAGATCGCGACCAATGCGTAACAAAGATTTTCCCAAGCATCCAATACTCTAAAGCTACTATAGACTATTACTTATGTCATCTAGTCTTTGCCAAAGAGTCCAGGGAGTTTCCACATAAGCTGTCTGCCTCGGGGTGGGACCTCGGCAAGAGAAAAGACAACCCGACGACAGGATTTAGTGGAACCAACGATTCTCGATATGTATTGCCACTCGGAATGGCGCAACTCGATCTTCCGGAGCAGAAACATACCAATGCGCTGGTACTCGAGTACTTGCTACGGCCAGAAAACAGCATAGCATTAACGCCAAGAAAGACGAAAGGCGCTACTTTAGATAGCCAGATGCTTCTTCAAATGGTTTCTGGAATGAGCCCTGAAGCCCGCGTGATTCTTGACGTTGGAGCTCAAGTTATCGATCTCAACAACTTGGAGTTTTCAAAGCGATGGTTGGCTTGCTATGGGGGGAGAGCAGATACTCAGGCGGTGGTTTGTTTCAGCGATCACGACGAAATCATTGTTGTCGATCGATATGGTAAGGTAGAAGAGCTCCGGACATCTCCATTCGCAGAACAACTGGATCAGTGTCTTGTCTTCCTTGATGAAGCCCACACTAGGGGAACTGATCTGAGACTCCCCACGTACTACCGCGCAGCGGTCACACTTGGTACCGCATTGACAAAAGACAGACTAGTTCAAGGTATGTCGTTTATCTTTCAATAAAAAGTCGTGTACATCACTAATAAGTGAAATCAACGATAGCCTGCATGCGGATGAGAAGGCTTGGAGAAGGTCAGTCTGTGGTGTTTTGTGTCCCGTGGGAAATTGAGCAAAAGATCGCGCAATGGCGGACCAAAATGGGCTCAAGTAGCTATGACATCACAGTATCTGACGTCATCTGCTGGTCCATTAAGGAAACTTGCCTTGACTTGCGTAAAGCTATCCCACTCTGGGTAACGCAAGGCGCTCGTTTTAGTGGACATCAAGTACTCTGGAAGCAAAAAGTACCCAAAGAGAAGGGATCCTCGTGGGCCAGGGGTTTCCTTGAGGACGAGGCGCTGAGCTTGAATGAGCGCTACCGCCCTTGCAGCGGTCAGGCAGGTCTATCCTCTCTTTGGGCCAGACTTGACGGTCCTACTATCGATAAGCTTAAGGCTCGATGTGACTCTTTTGGACTTACCAAGCTGCATACATCGTCACTTCAAGAAGAACAAGAGCGCGAGCTATCCCCTGAGACTGAACAAGAACAGCAGATTGAAAGACCGCCCAAGGTTGAGCCAGAGAACCACGATCTTGCCCAGCCTCTGAAAACCTGGGTTTCAGATGGTTATTTCCCGGGAGAGACCGACGTATTCAGACCGGCTTTTACAACTTTGGCTGATACTTCTGCAGCACGACACTTCGATGTTAATGGGTTTCCTCGTAACATCTGGGTCACACGAGACTTTGCCACGACAGTTCGAGGGTCTTTCGGGCAAAGCGATGACACAGATTTGTTCCAGCGTTCTGTGCAGTGGATTTTGACTGGCAGCACTAAGTCTGGCACACATAACCTTGTAGTCGCCAGTCCTTATGAGATTGAAGAGCTACTTCCTCTTATCAAAGGTTCTTCAAATGTGGCGCTCCATCTCTATGCTCCCCGAATCAATCTTGGATTCCAGCCCCTTGATCATCTTCGACTATACTGCGTATCAGGCAACATGATCCAATCAACAATTCCCAAGGACTCGATTACCTTCCTCAACCTTTTCGCTGGACAGGTGTACCTGAACTCTTTCCAAGACTATATCACTCTGTGTGATTCCCTTGGACTGGCGTGGACTGCCGTAGACGATTCTGTTTGTTTAGGTCCTGATGGGTTCATCCACCCCAACGTTGTTGGAGCTCTCGTCAATAGGTCGGGGTTCTCTAAAAGCCCTGTTCAATTCCTGAAGGTCCTCATGGAGAAAATACGACAGAACTGCGGGACAATCATAAGGACCGACCTGGGGAAGATTTTCGAAGGTGTGATCCTACTGGAGGACGATTTCGAAGGGAGAAATTTAGCGCTCTGCGCGGCCATGTCCTTATGTATTTAGGAGCTATTTGTTCGTTTAGGAGCATCATCAAATCTATATCACACTTTCCCTTGCGTCTGTTCCGGTAGATACGCGAACAAAATGCAGCCTAACAGTAATTTGAAAGCCCATCGTGATCGATAAGCCAGCCTATTAGCTTTAACTTCATCATGTCCAACACCAAAGTCACATCACACATGTGTTCCTACGACTGAAACACGCATTTCGTCCCCATGTCAAGGGTGTTCCACCTCGCCGGCGTTTATCAGCACCACGACAATGCATCCTCATGGCGGCTATGGTCTCTGCGAAACGGTGTGCTGTGGTGGGGAAAGGGCAGTCTTGATGCATTACGTCAGCAATCGGGCCATCGTTGTAAGCTTGTCTTATTGTTCTGCAGCAGTAATTGGATTATTTCAAAGGCAACGATGTATAGTCCAGTAATCGACGACTGCACGAGGCGTGGTTGTCGACGCAGGTCCAAATTTTAAAAGAAATTATCCACTTTGGTCGGCGATATCTGGCTAATCGCCTCTGAACCGGTCCAATTGGAGCACTTCCCATAAAAGCATGACAGCAAACTGTTAACGGCGGGAAACTGGCTCCCTACTGCACGGACATTAGGTGGTCCGAATCATGAGTGGCGTGCAAGAACAATCAGATTATATATCAGAACCTGATACGTGGTGTAATTGGTACAGTAAGACGAAACGGAAGCAATTGAGTAGGTATTGGAGGAAAACGAGTCAACGTCAATCGATTAATTAATCGAACTTTGAACCGGTCGCATTGTCGCAAAAATGATTTTTCGCAGGCTAATAACCCGAATATGAACTCACCTCAATATAATGAATCGATGCATCCACTTGAAATGCATTTTATCGATAAAAACATACCGGTGACCTGAAGCCATTGGGGTTAAATGGATTCAAGTCGTTATTTCGTTAGCGTCCTTCTTTTTATTATGGGAAAGTCATTGGATTCAGAGCTGGATGTACCGCGCAGCTGGGATGGGCCGAGGCCTTTTAATCCTACTCTTATATATTCTTTTTAATGATTGGATCCTCATTTCTGTTGTAGCTAATTGTTAAAATTCAAGAACCATGCAGTCACGATTGAACCATGACGATTTCCTTTTACAGATTAGTACCGGATTTAGAGAGCATGATAGCTCCTCAATTTGGCAACCGCAGATAAGCTATGACGAGGGTACGAGCGGGATACAGATGGTCAGTGCCAGCAGATCGGAATAAAAATTGAACCTCACGGCTTCGCTTGCCATTAGGCAAAAGCCGGTGATAGCCCTGCCTGGTACAGCATCGGTTTGTCCCTCTGCTGCAAGTGCGCCGACCATTTCACGAATTGCACCCATCTCGACTGGGTATCAACTCCGCCCGGTGCCTCTACCTGACGTTGCCGTTCAGTCTCCGACTTCTTCAGATCCCGGACGGTCTGTAGTAGTAGAGTGTCCCCGGCTACGGCATCGTCAACGTGTTCTCATAGATGCATAAATAAGTTGAGTCTAAAAACTATAGCGTATGTATTTATATAATAGCAATGAGTTCTATACTACATTTAGTGTTCAGTCTGAGTGGGTAAAGACTCGATGTTTTCATGATCATCTCCCAAACAACGCCCTCCGATCTTATAGCACCCCAGACAAATGTCAAAGTCCCCGCCGTTGCAAACTTTGCATTCGTAGGACACTACATCTTCCGAAATGCTCAAAGTGCAAACATCGCACCATCCGGATGTCCCATCAGAGGATATGAAGCTCTCCTCGATAACCTCACCATCATTCTTGCTAACTGCTACGCCTGCCTTCTCTGCATAGTCGAGCAAGACGTCATGGATCTCGGTATTTCCGCATCTTATGGCCCAATACCACGGAGTCCGCCCGAAACGATCCTGAGAGCGGAAGGAGACTTGTCCAGTAGCCAACAGCATATTGACGATCTCTGTGCAAGAATTTCGTATAGCTATTGATAACGGTGTCGAACCATAACGATCTTCCTGGTCGAGATTGATAGAGCCATGGCGAATCAATGCCATGGCGACATCATCATGGCCATGCTTAGCTGCGAATAACAATGGTGTTCGGCCAACACTATCTTCTGTTCTGGCATCCGCCTTCACAAGCAGCAGCTTGACGATAGCTTCATACTCACCCTCGGCGGCTAAAGATAATGGTGTTTGGCCATGCTTTCTTTCTTTTGTGTCGATTTCTGCGCCTCTATCGAGCAGCAGCTTGACGGTAGCTTTATGTCCATTGTTAGCGGCCCATAACAATGGCGTCAGACCATGCTTATCTTTTGCCTCGGTTTCCACACCCTTGTCGAGCAGAAGCTTGATAGTAGCCTCGTACCCGCTCCTGGCTGCCAATGATAACGGCGTGTGATCGTACCTATTATTATTCACTTCGATTTCCGCACCTCTATCGAGAAGCAGCTTAACGGTAGCTCCATGCCCGTTCGCGGTGGCTAATGATAATGGCGTGTGACTATGTCCATCTTTTGCCTCGACTTCCGCGCCTCGATCGAGAAGGAGCTTAACGATAGCTTCATGCCCATTATAAGTGGCCCATAATAATGGTGTCTGACAGTTATCCCAATCTTCTGCCTTGACGTCCGCGCCTTTATCGAGCAGCAGCTTAACGGTAGTTTCATGCCCGTTACAAGCGGCCCACCACAATGGCGTCCGACCATGTCCATCTTCTGCCTCAATTTTCGCGCCCTTGTCGATAAGTAGCTTGACAATGGCACGATGGCCATAGTATGATGCAATCATGAGATCCGTGAAACATGGGGCTGATCTCATATATGTAGCTTCCCAATAAATACTAAACCATACCAAGCAGCTCTTTGAGCCTGTATCGCAAATACGTAAAGCCAAGGGTATAGCAGCATCATCATCGTTGAAATCAGCCCTTCGGAAGTGAACGCCCCAGGTTTCGGCTGAGTAATCTAGGAATAGGTATCTACCGTCATGATGGCGAGTCTCCCCATCTGTATCCGTCAATGGACTGACCTCTGAGTTGAAGGAGCTTAAATAGAGTACGCAGAGCCTAGCAAGAACGGTATGTGCATGGCGTGCAGTGAAGAAGTGATACCAGTGCGGCTCTGGTGAGACGGTTCTAGGTGATACCGAATCTGCGAGGAGAAACTCTCGAGCTGTTTGATGAAGGAAGTAGATGCTGTCTCGATGGATCGAGACGAACAATCCACACCAAGATCTAAGGCGCACCTTGAAGTCCTCTTCTTCCTCCAAGTCAAGGTCGTCGATAGACTGACATTTATCGTCGATATTTACGGCGATGTTCATTTCCGATAGGGTCAGTGGGCGGCTTGCTGCCAGGACAATACTTAAGACTTTCGGAACCATTGGATCTTTGTTGGCCTTATTGAGAATTTGCTCATATGCCTCGTTGATACTCGTCGGAAGTGTTGCAACAGCGGATTCGATCCCCTTCCCCGTCTTTTTAAAGTCGTGTTTCTGCAAGTAGTCAAACACAAGGTGTACCCAGAGATATGTACGATGGGTAGTTTCCTGTAGTTTCTTCTCTAGGTGGTTCTTGGTTTCGTCTCTTAAGCGCTTTTCCGTGGCCAGTTGATTGATCCGGTACTTAATGACGTGGTTTGCCTCCTGGCTAATCGTTTCTGATTCCTCTTCCCCTGGTATATGAATATTTGGAAAAGCATCCAATAGGACACGGAACTTAGACAGGATCTGGTTATATGGGCGGGATGTCAGAAGATACTTTAATTTGCCACGGCCATCTAACCGGTTGCTGCGGAATTGGTTCTCCACATTCCGCATCAGGTCTGCAAATTCAGATTCGGCGCATTCGTCTAGAGTGTCTAGGACCACAGTTACAGGGCCTGCCTGAGGATCTCTTATAACGTTTCGTAGAACCTTCCAAAGTGATTCTGTAGAGTTGATTAAGCCTTGTCCGTCGTTACGGAATTGTGGTATAGCGTGTTTAATTAAAGACGGCTTCAGAGAGAAGAGCTGGTGAAGCAAGGCGCAGAGTGCTTGCCGAACAGTGTTTTGGTCCTGGTCTTTGAAAAAGAAGTAACAGATAGTAGTGGATCGTGGTAGGCCGTAGTCTATCAGGTACTTGGCCAGCACTGACTTTCCACAGCCAGGATCCGCCGAGACCAGCAGGGGGCCAGACTCTTGCTTCAACCACGTCTGGAAGTCGTCGTGTTTGAGGAACCACATGCATGTACCTTCAATTCTTTCTTCCACTCGGCCTTTATACCATTCGTAGGTGGTGCCCTTGCTGCCATTTGTAAGGCGGAACAGCTGATGACACCTTTGTTGTTCTTCAGATAGCCTTACTTTGGCTACATCCTTCTGAGCTTGAAGTTGCTCCTTAGCAATGTCATGGTGCTCTTTTGATACGTCCCGATGCTCTTGTGCAATTGCTTGGAAACCTGCATATGGATCAATCAGCAATAATTGTTCATGCTAGACCTTTTAATTACCAGATAGAATGTCGCTAACTTTCCTTTCCACTTTAACCCTGTCCGGAACTATTTGATAGAAAATATCTTTTGCATATGCCGCCGCCATCATCGCCGCAAAACCCTGCCACTGCTTGTTCTTGTGCGAATCGGAGTAGTCGCATATCCCGCGGATCACTAAGCAGGGGAAATGGTTCATCAAGCCGGCCGCCTCCATCTCGAAGCAAAGGACATCCATACTAGCCGCTAGCTGGTCTCGGGCAATTGCATCTTTCATCAGCTGGTTTGCGCTAGCGATCAACCCATAATGAATGGCAGGGTCATCTTCCTCATCGCCTCGTCTTTCCCGATTGACAAGACAAGCGGGGTCGCTGCTGCACACATTACCGCATGCATCCGACCCTGGATGGACAATGTCAGATCTGTAAAGCCTGTCGGTATCTGGGTGCGGCCGAGAATATTTCTTTCGCAGACGGGGTCGCTCCTCCAGCACCTTTTCGATGTTGTCGCTAAGCCGGTGCCCTTCCAGCTCGTATTCAGTTTCAAGTCCGCTCAAAGCCGTCAGAAGCAATTGCGGCGGCTCATTCAGAGATCCGGTCGCCTCGAATGCATGCTCTTAAATCGCCTTTCCGTAGTGGTACTGGAATACACCACCTTTCCCACTGCTACGGGCACTCACGACAACGTCGCCGAGTCGTATGTCATGTTTTGCGCTTGGGGCGCCACCACCGATACCGACCATCAGTCCGAATCGAATATTTGGGAAGCTGCGCACCATGTCTCTCGCCACGGTGGCGGCGGAGGTTGTGCCATACTCAGATTTAGGCAGGACAGCCATAACAACATTGTGTTCTCCAATCTCTCCCATAGCATAGTTGTTGTTATCCTTATCGGCAGCCACCTTGATATTGTCATGCTTTTTGTCAAAGAAGGCTTGTGCAGCGACAAATTCGGTGGTGATGGCACAAATCCATCCGACCGTGTACTTTTGTGGGTCTGACATGTTGGCTTTTTGGTGCTAAATGATGGGGAAAATGCTAGGTCGAAGGCGTGAGCTTATGGTACGAGAGGGGTAATGATGATGCTCGAGACAAGTGATGCTGCGAGGGGAGCGTGCGGCCATATACCTGATCTCAGGCATACACACTGCTGAGAGCCAGATTCATTCCGCTTAAAAATTAAGAAACTTCTCTCATTATTCCTGATATGTATAAATATCCATTATAAATAATGAACTCAGAATTAATATTTGTCTTTAAGTCTTATAATCCAACGTGTAAAAGCTAAGGCGGAATTGAAGAAGTTTACTTAAGGTAGGTTCTCACTTTCCGTGTCATTATATCTCGCTCTACTAGGGCTATTACCGATAAACATTCGGTAAGAATAGCCATCCACCATCCCGCTCGAAACCACAGGATAATTCAGTTATGGAGATGCAGTTAAAGAGGGTAGAGGTACGCGACAATTCGTGTTACACGACTATCGGAAATAGAAGAGTAGATCATCTATCCATTAGCGCCTTTTTTCACTATGGGAAAACCATTGAATGAGAGCTAAATCTGCCTCGCAGCTAGGATAGGGTAGGTTGAGCACCGCTAGGCAGCAGCAGACTGTTAAGAAACTCATCATCAGTCATTTGCCAAGGCTACTACCCCTCAATCGCAGACGCTTGCCCAATCAGCTTTTTTCTTATGTTGGTAGGTCAGCGCAGCATCACACGGCTTTGGCCAACTAAGCACATATATTGACGTATCTTATACCTGATGTATGGGAGTTTATATCCAAACGAGAAATGCTGAATTGCTCCTTTATTGAAAATGGGATGGACGATAGTGAATCAATGATGGAGGAATGTAGATTTAAGTAGCACGTGACTACGTGGTTAGCTGGTGTCAACGAACTTTGCACTAGCGTGTCTTGAAAAAAGCCACCCAATTCACTGCAACACGTTTAAACAACTTTTCCCTGCCCTTACAAGGTAGGAAGCGCAGAAAAACTTGAAAGTAATATCCCCATGACAATCCTGCTTGCCGTCGGGAGCAGTGATAAGGAAAGAAGCAATAAACAGGAAGCAGAAGTCGGAGAGGTTACGCCTTCAAGTCCCCTTCACACCAGATCAGAGTCGACACCTTCATCTCCAAAGCGCCTTTTTACGGACGATGGCGAACGCGAAAGCCTAGCCATTGGGCTACTCCTCAGTTGCCATCTCCTGATGAGCTTGCTAGTCCTGAGGCTTCGCAGGAGTCGTATGGAGGCGGCTAGGTTGATGAAGTCGCCGATAAACTCCTAACTGGAGTATCTTCCGCAGTGACGTCCCCGCCACGAAATACAACAGTAGCTGACCAGGCAAACCCGTCCAAGCTAGATCCTGCAATGACAAAGCATCAATAGCAGAGTTGATCTCGGTATTAGCAATTACTAAAAAATAAGTTACGCAAACCCTCGACGTTTCCCAACTTGTACGCCGCATTCACTTCGTGATGTATGTTTCCTTACTTGAACAGAACCTCATCGAAGAATTGGCTAATAAAAGTTCGCATAGACTTGCATTTGTAGCTATTCTTATTTGTGTATCCACTTTTGTTTTATTCTTATGTATTATCCTCCTGGACATCATTCAACTTTCGCTAGGCGGTAATTTAGCTCTCTCAGCTCCGGGTCGTAACACTTCTTCCACTGCGGATATCTTCGATAATGTGCTTCAATGAGCTCATGCACTTGGGTTTCCATATTGCGCACGACTTGCGCCTGCTTCTTTCGCATCATAACTAGGCTCTCTTCATCCGAGGTACACTCAGCCTCTTCACCTTCTGAGGTTGAATCCGAATCGTTATCCATTTGCATTATAGCACGATTCAGACGCCGCCTGTTTCGTCGTCTTACTTGATCGTGTTGGAGATGTTCGTACCTTTCCAATGCCTTGTTCAAAAACCATATACAATCATTAGCGTTATCACATTCCTCAAACGTCTTGGCGACTTTCATCTGTTTTACCGGGCACCATCGGCTTGGAAAGTAACCCCCAGTGGAATTGTCTAGCTCTAGCGTAGGCGCTGGGAAAGTGCTTTGGGTCAGGTCGGCTGATACTCTCTCCCGAAGACAAACTAGCTGTGCATAAAACTCGTCCTCAGAGAGTCGAATTAAGTCCTGCTCAGGCTGTATGACATAGGGCATGTATCTATTGGAAATCAAATTGGTTGCTAGTTGCCAGCCGTCAAGAGGATGATGTTGGATGCTAGATGATGGTAGGGGATGCGAAATAGTTCCGGTCTGGCGGGATCTAGCGTAGTACTTGATAAGTCCCGGATGTGCAATGGGCCACCAGACAAACTGCTTTTCCTCTTTGTCCTTGCGGATAAAACCGCGGCTGTGTGGATACGGGAGAATCCAATGGCTGCCAAGAAACGACCGTTTTAATTCTTGACGCCATTTCCGTGCACTAGCTTTGCCTCGTGTGGTTTTGATAGCATGGAAGCTCTGTTGGAATAGCATACGGTATGGCTTCTCGTTCCATCCTTGCCGCTCAAAATGATCATCCTTTGATTTCCAAAGCCAGGCAAACAAGACGTCGATATTCTTTACCGCTAACCGATTTCCTTCTGCAAGCTGGAGTGGCTGGTGTTCCTTGAGCACGGCGTTGTTGACACTGTGATAGCAGAGGGGAATCTCTCCTGCTAATGCTGATTCTAGGTATTCCGGCTTCAAAGCCGACTTGGCGTGAAAGAAGACGTCTTTACGAAACGCACATAGGCATAGCTCTCGCAGATATCTTTCCATGAGATGAAGACAAGCAGGAATTGAGCTGAACTCAAGCATCCACTGGTAAGCCTTGTTGACTCGAATAAAATCAATCCGTACATCTCGGACTTGGTGATACCGGGCGCGGTACACATTCTGCATCGATGGATTGTTGAACATCATATAGGCTGCATAGGGTTGGCGGAAAGTAAGCGTGTTCCAATCAATCTTGTCAAGAAACCAGGCATAGCCATACTTTTCCATGGTGAGCTTAAAGCCAAGGCCTTCGTGGCGGCGAAGTCCATTTGGCTGACGTGCATCAGGTTGCTGACGAACATCTTGCCAGCAGCCACCGACTTTCTGTATCAATCCGCCTGTATATGAGAATTGGAGACAGCGAAGAAACATCATCATGACCCTCGTGTGTTCCCAAGTCACAAAATGTGGATCTTGGAAGCTGTACACCATCTCGAACCCCACGCAGAACTTATTGATGTTCCACCGCACCCATCGAAGTAAGGTATCAGTCGTGAAGCTATAGTATGGCGAGTTATCGTCTGTGGGTATGATGAGTCGCTGGTTGTGAAGCTCTCGGGATCTCATCCGGTTGTCGATAGCGTCGAAAAGTTCCTTAGAAACACGATGCTCTTCTCTAATGCCAAAAGATTTCTGCATAGATCCCAACAGGGCATAGTGGCATCGAAGCTTTGTGTACAGGTATGCCTTGATCAATGCAGCCGGCTGGTGACTTAGACCGCCTCCAACGAGTTCCCACGTTTTTCTTAGCTTCTTGTCAAGAGCAAGGGTCTCGATCGCTGTATTTGTAAACGGGTATACGTTTCCTGCTGCAAACACTTCCTTGACACTGGAGTAGAACTGAGAGTAAAGAAGACCAGCAGCTCGGCGTGAAGAGTGCTTTCCAGTCTCAATGGTCAAACTACCAGTGTCTCGAAGCATACTGAACGGATAAAAGACCTGCTTTTGGGTTCCTCCATCCTTGGCAAGCCTATTCTTAACCTGACAGGCATACGATTCCAGGCAGCATCGCCGGTAGAGCAGTGTTTCCGCCCGTTTCTCTATCGGACTTTCCATAACCCCGGCTGCCAGTTGGCTCCAGGGTACAACCTGAGATGCCTGCTGAGGGCAAGTTTCTTTCCCGATATCAAAGTAGACCTCTGGCGTGGTATACCTCTCATCGACTGCGCTGGTCCAGTAGTTTCGAAATCGTGTCATCATCTTATCCCAGGTAACATCTTTTGTAAGAACCTTCAAGTTCTTGCCTTGGAGAAGGATAATGATATCCTCAAACTGCTGAAACCCTGGATCTCGAATGGCAGTGGTAATGTGGGCCCAAACTTCTTCCAATGCATCTGGCTGCAAAAAGTATACCAGTCGTTGCTCGCGTCCCACCGGGTGCACACGTTGCGAGAGACCCTCCACTCCGCGAGCGGTAGAATTATATCGACCGTGGTCGTAACTCGAGGGATAATGCTGAACATGCGCTGCGCTATAACATTTGTATATTGCAGGAAGAAGAATGCCATCCATCCACAGCCGAAAGTCTTCATCTCTAATCTTGCTGCACTTTTGCTCTTCCCGATATAACTTTGGAAATAGAAGATACAGGGATATATCTTCAAATCCGATAAGACGACCGAATGTATAGTGTGGAATGTGGTGTACCGGCCGGTGGACTTGATGTTGTTTCCCACTCGTATCAGTATATGTAACGGGGATCGATTGAAGGTGGAGATCAGACTGAAGATCAGATACAGCCATCTGGGTAGGCGACCAGTGGATTCCTTGCTTAGCAACAGCAATGTTAGATGGAAAGGCCACGACGCTATCTATATCAAAAGTAATTCCGGCATTGTCGGTAACTCTCTCATCCTCATCCAGGTAGACATATGGGACCTTGTCTCTGGAGTCAATACCACAATAGATTTGTGGAAATTGGTACATACTAAAGAAAGTGACCGACAGTGCTTTAGGGTAGCACATGGCCAGAAATTCAGCTTTAACTAATTTTTACTCTTCTCAACATCATACGTTATACCTAGAACTCCATAATATTGCAATAAAATCTACAGCTCCTAATCTAATGATATGATATCTATCTTTTATCGTTACAGCTAGATCTATTAGAGTTATATATCAACTAAGAATAAGAAAGGAGAAGTGACCTGCGGTAGTAATGCGCGCCTTGGTTGGGTGTTCAATTCTTTACTCAAACGCCTCAACTTCGCTCTTCAACTACCACTATTTCCTGAGAGATCATGCCAGCCACACGCATCTAAACTGACCCCACCAAGTGACATTCTAGGTACTCTTTGGAGTTAAGTAGGAGCCTCCTCTACCTGATCCCTCCACTAGATAATTGATAGTACCGGAAAGGTTCCTCTAATTGTCGATTAAGGTCCATCTGCCGTTGGGCTAGCCTCCTTTCTCTCCTTCGGGCAACATCAGCCGCGGCTTTTTCTTCTTGGCTTGCGTACTTTGCAGGTCGACCTCGTTTAGATACTATTTGACGTCTGTTTTCTTTGCCGCGAAGTGGCTGTTGACTGCTGCGGGCCACGTAGTATACTCCCATATTTGGCCGCGGGAGGCATGGTAGAGTGAGTTTTGGCCCCAAAACATATGTTAGTTGGTCGGGCAGTATTGACCTGGCAGCGAGTCTCGCTTGTATAGGTTGTTGTGGCCTTGGGGCCTGTCTTGGTTGTACAGCCTGTTCTAAGCCGTGGCAGCTTGGTATTTGCTTTCTTATCGACTGAGTTACGAGTGGTTTTCGTGACTCAAAAGCTTGCGCACATCCATCTGCAATCTGCTTTCGAAGACTCACTATGTAGTGCTCTACCTGTTGGCATTTTTGGAATTCTAGTTCCGACTGTAGGTAGCTCGGGACTCGCTGTTGTGGCGCTGCCGATACGTGCGTCTCGTGTTCCACACTAGATGGTTGTAAGACCAAGGAGTTATCGTTACAATTTTTCCTTGGATCTTGAACCGGAGGGTCACGAATGCCACGCATTGGGTTTCGCCGCAAACCGTTGGGTTTATTTGACAAGCTGAAGGCAAAACTCTCTTGTTCATTGCAGAGTTCCCGTACTTCATACGATAATGTTTGGCCGATGTGGCGATGAATCCAAGACTGCCATTGATCCTGACTCCAGCGGAGGTATTGGGGGAGAGGTGGCGGATAGCCCTGCCGCCAGCGGTTTCTCGCCCAATACCAGCTCTCCTGAGAGGTTTCCTCTATTGCATGTCCCGGTTCGTCCTGAATATCTATCGAAAACCACCGACGCTTTCCATCCTTAGTCCTGGGCGCCAGGCCTCCTGGCGTGGGGTATGGTAATACCCAGTGGTACACAAATAAGTAGCGTTGAAGTCGGCAATTAAATGCCTGTAATAGCATGTTTTCCGTTGGTATATGTTGCAATGCAGTACACATCCATTGATGAAGCTTCCGAAACGGCTTGTTTTCCCAATTGCCCCGCAGCCAACCATCATTCAAACCGAATAATGCTTGGGCAACTTCCTGAGGGCTTTTGACGCTCACGCGATTGCCCCATACTGCGGTCATGCCATTGGCTAGGGTGGCTGAGAGAGCCTTGCGACAAAACTGAACATGATCGTCTAGGATGGTAGTGCGAACTTGTGGGCGAACATCACTTTGAATGGAGTGGAGGACATCAGCCCTCATCTGCTGTAGACAGATATGACAAAGCCATGACAGAATCTGATCAGTAATGACATTCTCCCCGGCATACTGCCGGAGCCATTCAAGACCTAAGTCGGCACATCGACTGAGGCTAAAGAAGTACCTGGCATGGCTACTGTATTTCATAAAGCGTTGATGAAGAGTGCCATTGCCGAATAAGACTGAACCAGTAATATCTGGGAGAAACCTTAACAGATTCCAATCAATGCGAGGCTCAATCCAGCAGTAGCCATACTGCTCTAGAGTTTGATTAAAGCCAAGGCCGTAGTATATTCGTGGCGAGCCCGCTGGCTGTTGCAGCTCCCGTCGGCTCCACCACAGCGCCCCTTCTCGGGAGTAATCATGCCCTCCAACTGCAACCCGAAGACACCGAAGAAACATATCCATCATCTTGGTTTGCTCCCATGTCGTCAGCCCCCCAGAACGTTGAGCTCGAATCAACTCAAACCCGGTGGTAAACTTGTTGATATTGTGCCAGACGTAATCAACAAAGATGGGAGTGCGAACTGCCCAGAGATAGGATGGAGGTCCTGATAGCTGGGCGGAGCGGGCCTCTGGGGTAAGAGAGCGCAGCACTGCCAGAACGCTTTGAAACAAGGTCCACGAAATGCGATACTCCTCGCGGACACCGAAGGATCGTTGTTTAGAATCTGTGAGGCCATAGTGACAACGGCGCTTGCTGGCCAGGTACGCTCGATCAGTGACGTTCTTGTCCGAAGCTGGCTTGCCACCAATGCTTTGCATACCATTGCGAAGCTGTGGATCTAACGCCAGAAGCCGTAGATCTGGATTCTGAAATGGATATGTCCGAGCAGCGTCTACGATCTCTTTGGCGAGACTGTACATTTGGCCATAAAGAATACCCCCACGGCGGAGTCGAGACCTTACAGGCGTCAACGTAGTCATAGCGCCAGTATCTCGAAGCATTGACTCATGGTAAAAGTTTTGGCCGGACTTGGGAATATTCCCGTCATAGAGCTGACTGAGGTGGTGACGGATGCAACAGCGCCGCCAGAGGTATGTCTGAGGTGCAGGTGATGAAACATCCTCAGGCGTTGGGCAGGTTTCTTTACCCACATCAATGTACAGCCGGTCGCTGCGTATATGGGAGAAGTCTAGAGTGCCGTGTAGTTTGTCTTCAAAGCTGTTCATAGCCGCCAGTAGATTAGACGGGGCATCTGGGTATTTGAACAAGAGTTTAGTGCCTTTTGCCTGAATTAATAGCTCTGGATCACGAAAATCTTGCAACCCCGGTTGGCATACTGCTGCGAGAATATGGTTCCACAGTTGCTGCAAACCTTGCGGTGACAGAAAGTAGGACATCTGTAGTTGGGCCCGGTAGTTAGAGGTCTCTAGCAGACGATTCTCTCTCTGAGGAGCTCTGCAAGTAGCCAATGCGTGACGATAACTTGCTGGCAAGTGCTGAAGTCTATCGATATCGTAGACCTGACGGACAGCGGGATAGAAGATATCATCAAACCACCGTGAGAACTGCTCATCCGTCAACCTATTGAAGTCATGGGAGCATGGTAAATGTGGAAAGAACAAGTGAAATGTTATGAAATCAGCGCCTTCGGCCCTCGCGAAGATGAAATGCGGCACGTCTCTCAGTCGCGATGGAATCAACCGGGGACGCTCCGAATCTGGATCCGCACGACCTAAGGTCAGGTGGACGTCGGTGGAGATATTTTGACCATACTGGGGAGCGGAATAAAACCGAATCCCATGAGTTGCAACTGCCGGAGAATCCACAAATCCCAAGATGCTATCGACATCGAACGAAATACTAGGTCGAGTCTGAGGGGCCTGTTCGACGTGAAGGCAAGCCTGCTTGGGTTTGTTATCGGAGCCTTGGGTTGTTGAACCGGTAAACAACGCCTGCCATTGATCCGGACTAAGCTCCGTTGTCTGGTCGCCAGTTTCAGTGGCAAGAATGTACTCTTTGTCAAGTGTATGGGGTATATCATGGGGTACTAATTTATCAAGTCTGTGGTGATTATCTGATCCCTCGGCTTCGATGTGCGCAGTCAGAGATTCTCGATGGCTTTGGGCACTACAACCATGTATACCAGCGAGAAACTGCTGAATAAACTTCTGTGTAGCATATTCTACGTCAGTGTTAGCATCGTTAGTAGCCAGATCGGCTGATTCCCCAGCATGGTTTTGTGGGCTTTGGGGCTGTCTTCGGCTCTCCTCTTCTTCAGCAGGGGAGGTTTCAACAATTTCCTCCTCATAGTATGGATCTACCTCGGTAGTGCTGATTGTGGAATCATCGACTTCCTGGATGGAGATAGTAAAATCCTCGCAGGCAAAGGTACCATCCTCTTCAATATCCTCATTCTCGAGGGGCGAATCTCTCTCGGGCCCTTTTGCTTCGTTCTCTACCACCGAGTCAACTGTGTCTGACAATGGTCCGCTCTGATGGTTTATTGCGGCAGTCTCCTCTCTTGCCTTCTGACGCTTCCGGTGTTTCCGTGTACGATCCGCTTGTAGGGCGCGTCGACGTCGCGTGGCGCTATCCTGTTTTTTTATGCCAACAAATCGAACCTTCATTGCTATTCTTACTGTAAAACTCTCCTGAGCGGTCCTGATAAGCGTGATGAGCAAAATCTGGTGTTTAAGACACTTTTATTTTAAGATGGTGCGTGTGCGAGGAGCCACTCATAAAAATCCCGGACTTGGAAGAGCCTGCCGAGAGACGCGCTATTAAGCTGGCGCTAGCCATTTTGGGCGATGTAACGCGTCGCTGATGAAACATGAAAATAGGATCTTTTTGTCAAAACGCGCCTTGGTTTTGCTACCCTATACGTTTTATTTTGGTACCGACCTTTCTTCATTGAGCGACTTGACCGCCTGCATACGGAGCACTATCAGCTTTATTCATGGATTGTAAGTAAACGGCTGACTGTTTAATTTGGGGTAGGGGAATGCAAGACAAGCTTTTCTGATGTTATGTAGTACAACTTTCACATTTTAGCTATTTAAGCTTACCTCGGCTTGAAGAAATTATGGAAAGCTTGATTCTCAAATTAGTGTTAGGCAGAGCATTGACATGTGACAATGCAGGCATGACTAAGCTGACTGATGAAATGTACTAATCCATAACAGGAGATGTAACGCTTGAGAAACAAACTCCACTATTCCGTAATAGGAAATGTAACGCTCAACGAGAGTCCAATCTTCGCAATATTGGATGACATGCCACGACTATAGTATTAATCGAAATTGAATAAAACATGGTTTGGAATGCTAATTCGAGCCTTGGAAAGGGCACAGTGATTTAATTTAGCCGAAAAATGTGCTGGTGGCTTTGAGCCCCAAGTCGAATTTGCCTACTGGATTCGTCATATTGATCGTCATGGTGACTGTGGCTTGATAGTAAGGTGTGAACGACGATTGTATTTCAATCAACGACGAGACCATCTAGTAGTATGACTTACCTCCCCTATAGCACTTTACGCGAAAGGACGCGTCGCGTTTTAGACAACCCCTGTTCTGATCAGCACTACTCTTCCCGTATATAGGTATGGCATTAAATCAACTCTACACCCTGGCAATATATCAACTCTACTAGGGTTAAAGTGGGTCAATTAAATCAACTCTACTAGAGTTGATTTGGGACTGTAGTACTAAGAATCTGATAGTCCTCATTAAGATGTACGATATCGTCCATTGCTGCTTACTATTACCTCTTTAGTCTTAATGATCGAAAGGAAAGCAAAAAGCAGTCTTGTGCCTTTCCTCTGACCTAATAGCCCGGCTTGAATACAGCGTAATCCACGTCGTGCTATATCCAATGAAACTAGCTAGCATACAGTAAGTACACTTGTATCATAAGCGTTAGAAAGCAAAGAGAGAAGCATTCTTGTTGTTTATCTCTGTTGATTGATGTTCCCTTTCCCACGCGTCGTGCTAACCCCAAGCAAGCGCTAGCTAACCCCAAGTGTGGAGTTGGGGTAATTTTCAGCCAATCAGATACTCGACCCTGCTTATGGCGATACATCATATGAGCGAGATTGGTTCATTTTGGTGGGCGATTTATAATCAATCGCCTCTTAATAGTTCTTAGGGGTGAGGGCACCAAATAGCCTTCAATCCAATTTGGAGATGATGCTTCAGCAGTTGGAATGGATGAGCGGCTTTTACTTAAATCGCGCCAAGGTGGAAATGTCTGATTTGAGAGACAAAGACATCTTTGCCTCGCGTGAGAAGTTCTTGGAGTATAGGGAGCTCAGATAAAACATATATAAACTAATTCAGATCATCACATTGAACCCAATCGTCATAACAAGCCCCTTCCAAATAACCTAAGACCGCATGGTTCTTCTTATCGGTCATTGTTGTAACAACTCCGCCTTCGTCTCTTTCGTGCGTTTGGATAAGGTCAGGCTTGAGTGACGTGAACTGGTCGGCAAACATCAAACCACATCCACTGCGTGACTCTATATCTTTTCTTGTTGCTGGTATGGTCCACAATACTTCGGTCGGCTGGAGCCAGAGGTACTGTCCTGGGGGGATATCCGAGCAAAAACACTCTTTCTGCTTGACAGCCTCCCGCCACACTCCACGCCAGTTAGTATATACCAAAAGAGATTGCAAGTATGACCTCACCTAGCTCTCGAAAGACTGTGCCGGTAACTACAGTGTATTTGCACGGTGGCAAGCCTTCAGGAGGCGGGAGAGGTGGTGGAAAATCTGTCATCGTCGAAGTCGAAGGTTCTTTGAATCTCTAATTGAAGAACTCAAATGAAAGAAGAAGCGAGGATTGAAAGAACGAAGTAAGCTTTAAATACATTTTTCTAATCTAGAGCCGACAGGGTCGGCAGAGCAATATGCTGTCAACACTTGGGCTGTTCCTCGTACCCTGACTTGCTGGTTATCACACGGTTTGCAGGACGAGGATACATGTCACTCTTTGACCGCTAATCTAGGGATAACCCTGGAGGATGAGGCAGGCTCTGCTGAATTGACACCTTAGGCTGTTGTAGCCAGGGGTTTCTGCATGGTTAGAGGATATGAGGCAATGCCTGCAGAAAGCAATTGAGGTTACTCTCGGACAGCCGATCTAGAGGCGCCTCCAGAGAGGCGTGGAAAAGCAGGCCAAGTCTGAACATACGTTGTTGGTCCTGACGGCTCGCGCTAACAGGGGGTCAATGGCAAGAAGGGTGTGGATCGGCGACGCATGTCTAGGGGCGTGCGAGTCGATGCGGCGCCGTTCCCCCAACCGCAAGCCAGCAGCCCCGCCTCCCAGGTCCCAAGTCATCTCGGGCCTCAATTGCTTGCTTTTTCTAAGTTCCGGCTGCACGAGAACAAGACGGGAAAGAGTTACCTAGGGGCTGACTGAGACCAGTGACAAGGGCGCTCCTGTCACAAATACCGGCCATCCCCCACCTAGATTCCTTCTTGACCTCACTCTATCTTGTTAACTCTCCCCTTTTACAATCTTTCACCCGCGGATATAACAGCACTCCAAACAGTCTCATTACAACACCAGAAACCCCAGGAAGAAGAAGAACTTCGAAAGTACACCATCACTCTTGTCTCTTTCTACCTCAGACTTCATCGGAGGGAGGACCTCCACAGGCCCCAATCCGCATTCGCATCTATTTACCATAGGCTGAAGTCTCAGGGCCATCGCCAATTCGCGGCTTCGATTCGAGATGAAATCTTCCGCGAACTGGAAGGCCGTTCCACATTTCGAGAAAGCTCTAATATTCAGCTCTCGGATGATATATCGGAGCTTCTGCAAGAAGCTGAGAATGATGAAGGCTTTCTCTTCTCTGTCATATCCTTCGGACACGAATCAGTGGAGCCCAAGGAAGATGACCGTCTTCGTTCCCTCGGCCAGTTGGAAAAGATTGAGATTCACGACTACTCGATCGACCTGGATCTGAAACTTACGGCTGCTTCTGGCATCGCTTGTGCACAACGCAGTCGAGCACTGGACCCTAGAGAAGGCCGTTCGTTCCTCGAAGTGTGCTATTTGATTTGTGATCGCTTTGGCAGGCTCTCTTCTCGAGTTCGATGGCCAGCCGCTTCCCCTGCCCCTCTCCTCACAAATCTCAACAATCAGCTCTACCAGCTCTACCAGCTCGACCAGTTCACCAAGCGGCTTTTCGTAGCAGGCCAAACAATCAACAACCAGCAAATGATGAACCAACAGGACTCGTTCCAACTCTACCAGGTCACGGATCTGCTTAGCCAGCAGATGGACCAGATAACACGCTTTCTGCCAGCAGCGGTCGGCCAAGTTGCCCCGCCTTCCACTCCAGAAGGACCTCCATGACCATGACGTTCTGTCGTTGGGCCTGACTTTGTCTCGGACTCGGAGGATCCGAATTAAATAGCATGGTGAACGCTGGGTTTCACGATTGGTGTTTTCTTCTTCTCTTATTTGTATTCAGAGGCTGTTCGCTCCGCTCTTAAACCCTTGAGGTCCTCCGCTCTAGTTCCCTGTGCCCGCATGCTGTGTCCGCCGTCGTTCCATGCAGAAGATACAAAGTTTCGCGTCATGTTTGCATTTCCCACATTTGTTTTCATGAGTGTACAAGACGGACTTTTGACACACGCAACACCACTGTGGATCCTCTACATAACGTTGGCGCCTCTTCACGCTCTTGTGAACGTAATTGATATTGTGCCCTTGCCGTGCTCTTCGGTAGGATAGGTCAGTTGGCACGTCTGTTTCGGTAGGTGCTGTTGGTTCTTCGAGTCGGGAAATCTTTGATGGGGGGCCAAGTGTCTCTGAAGAGGGGCGTTTTAATAAGGTTCTAGGCAATTGAAGATGTGTGTTATCGGTCCCCTCCATTTTGGGTGGTTGTCAACCTTGGAACTCAAGAGGAGAGTCCAGACGGTTATATGACGGGGGATAGAGTGCATGTGGATTGTGCAGCTTGGCAAATGGTGCAGTGAAGAGTCTGGCCGCTTTCCGACAGTGATTTATTTAGGATTGTTTCTCTTTAGCGATCAAGGGTGTATGACCCATACTGCTATCTACTCCCCCTGACTAGATACATTCCATAGAAGTCTGATGACGCACGTTCTCCATGTACTGTCCTGTGACTGAGAGGGGCCTTCGAAGAAACCCTTCGGCTATGCCATCCAATCAGGCGTAAAATGCTCCATTTCCTTCAAGAGATCATTTATAGGATGGGCATAACTCATGGTCCAACGTAAAGGTAGTTTCCCGCTGACATGAGGATCTTCAGTCTGGAACGCCACTGGCTTCCTGGTAGTCCTCCATTTCTCTTTCATGCTGTGTGTCGCATCGTGGAGGCCGATGCCACCTGCCACATCGGGATCGTTTGCCGCCGGATCCTCCCGAAGTTCAACTTTGATTCCGTTTATTGTCAAATATTCCCCAATACGGTATCCCCTGAGCAAGAGCCATTGTTTAATTGTCTCTGGCGTGCCAAACAGCCCGATGATGATTCGTTTCTTCTTTTTCAACGACGGAAGCTTAAAGTGGTAACTAGCTCCAGATCTATTGAAAGAAAACCTGCGGCGGAATTCATCTCGGCCAAGATAGCCAAGAAGTATAAGGAGAAACACAAGGAGGGCAATAGTGACGCTTAGCCCCACGATGATAGGTGGGTCCGTCATCTTAGCGGCAGAGTTTAGGAGAGAAGCACTAGAGGGAACAGCTAGCAGACTAAGTTGACCTTGGTGGAAGCTTTGGGACGCCTGTTGTATCGTATGCACCGCGGTTTTCACTGCACGGAGCTTAGAAAGAGGTAAGCATGAAACAAGGATGCTCCGAAAAGAGGCTTGAACTGTTGGAGAGAAGTGCTTGGCGAACCAGTGTCGGTGAGGCCTACCAGTAGTTGCCTTGTCGGGTTGCACATTCCTTTAAGTATTCATATGCTCTACAGGATCCAGGATGATATGCTTGCTTCTTTCAGTCCTGAACTGGTAATGAATGCAATATTTCTAGGTGGGTGACAGCACCAACAGCGATCAATGCGATCGCTACTTAAGCACACGCCCCCATTATAGCGCCGGGATGCGTGGCACCAGCCCCGAGTGATCTGAGATGGGCACAAGTTGCGTCAAGGTTCTTAGCGCATAGAGCTAGTCCAAAAGAAACGATACCTGAATCGCCAAACTTAGTATAGTTCACGCTTATCTTTTCTTTCTCGCCTTGGCCCCTTGCCTACCGTTTGGCTGACCAATGAGTTCAGAAGACGTGACTGCAGCTAACCTGTGCCGTGTACCAGGGCCTATCAACAAGAGCTGGAGAGCCAGGCCCCCTGCATCCTTCGACCTCACGTTCGTACGATAGCAAATCTTGACCTTTGTCACACCCTCCTGCTATTCGCAAATATTGGACTTGCTTCTCGTTAGCTCTTCTCTCCTGGCTAGCCTCTCCTCCCCTGGCTAGCCAAACTTAAATAGCAAATCAATTCTCACTTCATTTAGCGTATTACTCGCAGCTCTGCTTTTTCTTCTATTACGCAACTACTTCTAAGATCATGTCCAAGCCGCACCATCCCGGGGTTTGTATAGCCTAATCTCGCCAAAATATGGAGCTAATAGCTTCACAGTTCCCACAAGAACAACGCAAAGACAGCCTTCCCGACACCAAGGAAGACGACACACTTTGGATGCGAACTCACGACAGCCAGGTGGGGTTGAAGGCAAAAGCTTCCAGGCAAAAGCAAACAGAAAGGAAACCAGCAGCAAGAAGTGAGGGATTAGGGAATAAAACGGTATAGAATACTTCTGTTATGCGTAAATTAGTTAGAGAGCTCTGTATTTTAAGTTAGAGGTGCGGGTGATATACAGCAGGGTGCCCAAGGAGATGTGGGTTCGGTCAATATGCTCTGACGAATCAATCCTGTGTTTGGACCGCCATCGCTAGTCCAGATTGGACGATCCCGAAATAGACAATTTAGGCTTAGCGTCAGAAGACTTCACATGACACAACTTCAGGAGCTTGACATGGACCTAATTGTCTCACATACAATCGTTCTAATGGATCCCGAAATACCAGAAATGCTTCCAACAGAGGATGAAATACGTTTTGTGTTTGAAGACCCTCTGCAGCCAACCTCAATTAATGGACGACGACAGACTGGATACACGATACCTCCGACTGAAGAGCAGTGGCAAAGCTGCAGGCTGGCATGTGGACTGGCCAGCCCCCAGACCATGCTGAATAAAATAAAGAACCTAGAAAGTTTGTATCAACGCGAGTTGAAAAACTGGGAAAAAGTTATTGTGGTTGCTGTGGCGGCGGTCGACTTGGACAGAGAGCAAAATGAGGACAACTTGAAGTACGGCAAGGCTTATGACAGCCGTATGAGTTCCATCACCTACCGCAAAGACAGAGCTGCAGTGCTTAACTTGATAAAGCTTCTTGATCGAGTTTACAACAGCTTAGAACATCGGGCATTTGAACTTTTGATAATTTGGGGTTCGTATATACCATTCTCTCAACGGGCGGTCTTGTTCAAACTATTTTAGATATATCTTTAACAAAGCTCCGAAAATGGACGTCACGGACCTTCGAAGAGTTTCTATCTGGCCTACCAGAGATTCCTTTCAGGCCTATGAAGGAGGAGCAAGCTTCTCTGGCCCTTTATATTCCCTTTTTAGTCCATCTACTGCGACCTCAATATACCCTGGATGTTATTCAGAAGGCCCTCAAGACGAGAACTTTAACGCAAAGGGACTTGGATCGATTCCAAGCAAGTTATAGAACTCGCCAATGCCCACCTACCCTTCTCGACACTTTGGGTGATTTCCGGACTCCACGTTGCACACTCGACGCGACTTCATCGCAGCCGTCACAACAGCTACTAACCTCAAATGAAGATGACCCCGAGTTAAAAAGCGCTCTCCACCTCGACAAGATGTTTCCGGCTTTTATTAACATACACATTGAGGGCTATACTACGTTTAATATCTCACAAGAATTGCGGCAAAATGCATCACAGGCTCACAAGAAGCAAGAAGTTTGCAACAAGATCAAGAGAAAGACTACCTGCATATCTCAATATGAGTGGTCCGACAGATTCCATTTGCCTATAGCTAATCAGGCTATTGATGATTTGGTACGTATTCTTAGAACGAAATTGTCGGGGACAAGACTAAGTTAATAGGTGCACGCCGGGATCTTAAACCAAACCGATGTCCTAAGGCAAAAGGCCTACCTCCGACATCGCGGCCACCTCAGGGTTGAAACCCATAGTTTACAAATAATCATACCGACCACATCACCAGAAGAATTCTCATATGTATCGTTAAGCAGCTCAGAGCTTAGCACCTCAAAGTTTGAACATAGAATTGTTTGGAGGGCTGACCGAGGGTTACTGCTCAGACGAGGTACCATGCTATCAACCGAGGGGAACATATTCTTCATTTCAATTGTTATGCCTCTAAGCCCAGAGCAAGAGTAAATTTTGATCTCTGCAATACAATCCCCGCACTTGTCACTTGGAATTGGTCTTTCCCCATATTGGTTTATACACGTCGTCGTTCGTCTTGATTTCATCAGAAGTGACAACTTCTGTCTCATTGGGCTGTTCCACTGGGAAAAAATTAGGTTCTAGCAATTTAAAGGCACAGTTTTCTTACATTGCCCTGACTGTCCACTACCTGCCGTATTGTCCATAGTTGGTGATAAGTTCTAGGTTCGTGATGTGTCTAACAGAGAATGGCGAACGACATGACATGATGCGTGTTAGACATTTATATAAATGTGGAGTTGGTTCCAACCAGATAGGGTATTAATATCAGCGGCCACAACTATGGCCTGCAGGCCGAGAAGTCTACGTGTTCACCATCAAAGACGTGCAAGTACTTGCTCACGGATAGAAAGAAGTGCATAATAAAGCAAGGATTGTGAGCTGGTATATTAGCTAGTGAACAGCTTGTGAGTGCTACTGTGTTTGGTTTCAAGTCAAGCGTGTTAAGTGTATAGAAGGCAGCTCCGACAATCCATCCGTAAATGTCCTCGGATGAGAGCCGTTTTGTTGATCAAGGCGTGTACATTGCATTAGGGATTGAGGTTATATGGCTCTACCAGCAGGGGACTGCTTGGTACTGACTTATGTGATTGCACAAGTTTTGCCCAAGTGGGACGTGTTTGCTTGCATACCTTTCGCGTCGTTACGCGTCTTACGTAGCCTTGTAAGCGAGGTGTGATTGGTCACCATAAAAAAGAACTCTACCCCTGTCGGTTAAAAGAACTCTACCCCCTGTTATGTGGGACATCTAAAAGAACTCTACTAGAGTTCCTTTTGTCATTGACTACTAGGATAGATTGAGCCTGAGCAATGTTTCTGTGGGGCGCATCCTTGCCCTATGCAACCCCGTAGTTCAAGCTCATGCCACGCTTTTGTGGTTGTTGTACAGAACAGTGGCCGCGTCGCCACGAAAAAGTTGACCACAAAATTGTGGTCAACCACAGGTTTGTGGTCAGTTACAACCCTGGCTTAACCACAAATTCGTGGTCACTTTAGTTTGTTCAGAAAGGTGGGGACCTCCATCTGTCTGACCAGGGGGTTGGACCAACGGGCCTACGTTTTACCGAAACTACGCATCATGCCATCACGCCCCGCCAGCAGATGACAGGCACACAAGTATCACGTTGGCATCATGTCTTTATCTGAACGCATGCAATGGCAACCTCCAAAGCCCAACTCCACTCTAGAGAACTTTGAAAGGCGGTGTCGCGTTGCGAAAGCACAACCGTTCCTTGATGAGAAACCAATGAACGATACTGCGGCCGCTTGTGCATGGGAAAATTTCCGCCGGCCTCTACTGGGGCGTTTCACGCGCCACGGAAGAATAGGTTTCATCAAATTGCTCGGATACGGGCAAGATGGAATCGTTTGGAAAGTCGGCATTGACAGCCAAACATATGCGCTCAAAGTGGTAAGTCTTGTTGAATAGATCGCTCATTAACTAAAGTATGTTGCTGATTGTCAAGTTCTGGGACAACCAACCGCCAGAAGGTACACGATACTGGGCGTTCCAACGGGAATGCCAAAACGCGTCGCTCCTCGCGAAGATGCGATTCGCGATCGACAATTCCTCCGACCCTGTCTGGTTGAACCCAAACCCGACAACATTCCACGATGCAGCCTCCAATCTCCACGCGTTCTCCAACGAGGGCCGCAGTCGACAACTGTACCGAAAGCTGCTGGGCGCAGTGGAATACAGTACCGCACCTCGTCTAAGGGAATGCTATGGTTGGACATCGATGAGCGGCAAGGAGCTTTGTACAATGCCTTCAATCCTGCATCCTCCCGAAGTAAGAACTGGAGACGAAGTGCGCAAGATTTCGCCGACTGAAGAGTACCACGCCATTGTGTACGAATATGTGCCTAGCAGAGACGTAGGTCTGGATGTCGACGTCGTGCAAGCGCAGCTGGATTTCCTTTGGCTGGGTGGATGGTGCTTGGTGCCGTTGCAGTCAGCGAATTGGGGAGGTGTCGGCATCTTGCTCGATATGGGAGATCCTATATGCCTTTGGCATGCTGGATGGTTCAAAAGTCGATACAAGCGAAGGTGCGCAAGAGAAATGACAAAAGTATCTGTAAATCACGACCTGCTGGATGCCGTAGCCCAAAGCAATTCATCCGTAGCTCAATAGATACTACCAGAGATGCGTGACCACATTCCCACACTCCTCAACGTGAAGTTCCCGAGTACTTGAGGTGCACGTCAGATATCAATGAGGGACAAAGAGGAAAGAGGAGGAAGAAAAGTAACATACCTCTCCGCATAATCTTTTCCTTCACATGACACTTAGCCCTGACCGCCGCAGGTTGGACACGGAATACCCCTAACAATCTTTTGGCCATCACAGGTCTTACACTTCTCAGAGTCCATAGCCGTTTCGCAATCGATAAAAGGTGCCAAATTGCGGCTTGTATGAATAAGGATGAGTCTTTTAAGAAAGCTGAAGAGCAATTGCGCGCTTTATTCACAGCCTATGTCAAGTAGGGTCACAAGATTCAGTACAAGGGTTTCAAAGTGGGTTCGCTGACGTCAGCGATCATCTGACTGTCCCGCAACGGGACAATTATTACAATGCCCGCAAGCCAGTAAGCAATTCCTCTCGTCGCATCCTGCAAGATTTCGCCCTCGATGCGCTCCCTCGCCAGAAAACAACGACAATGCACTTGCTCTGCTCTTTTCAGAACAGAAATCGATTTTAAAAGGCACCTCAGCGATCATGCCGAACAATGGCGAGTTAGTTTAATACGAATAATCTTTTCCATTACTAACCACTATTACCCCCCCCCCCT